TATACAGTACTTGAAGTACACGTATCACCTCTTTTGCAACACATAATGGCACAGTATGCAGCCACCTGGATATAGGATGCAGTTTACAGGGTTATGGGCCGTTACACGCCCGATTGGTTGAGAGACTCACCTCCTCTCCCCTGACTCACTTGTGAGGTCTGCATTCGCCACTAAGGTGTAAAGGCATAGTGGTGGCCTGCGGAAGCGAAGGCTATAGCTTGTGTGTTTCTGAACATTCAAGTGATGCTAACGCGGATCCCGCGAATATTATTATTATTATGCAGCCACCGTTTTCTTTTTTCTTTACTCTATTTCACGCACTTACGGCTTTCTTCATTCAGCTCTATTTCATGCACTTATTTTTGTACCTAGGGACTCACAGTCTGTGGGGATTGCCCTAGTAAAATAATAAAATACTACTACTACTAGTTATGGTACATGTACATGTACATATAGATGAACATGTACATAGTCATTGTATTTTTGCCAATGAACTGATTGATTAGTCCAACACTGACACAGTAATGATATGAACACAAAAGCAGTTCGACCTAATATAAACTGACTTCCTGTCGCCCAGGGAGAAATCGATACACGCGCAACAAAGCGGCAGAGCTTGTCTTAGTTAGAGCGGGCTAGGCGTGGGCAGGCTGGGCACTGTCACAGACAGTGATGACCAATCATGGCGACGGATCTCCGGACTAGACTCCGACTGGCGTTCACTACACTGTACACAGACTGACTGTGTCATTGCAGACGCAGGTAGAAATCTACACAGCCTGTGCCATGCTGTGGTGTACACGTCTTTTGGCTGTTGCCTTCACTGGCTTCAGCCTTCATATCAGGCTTCATTCCACCTCGAGCTCGAAGACAAAATTTAATGAAAAGTACAATGTCATGTGAAATGACTCAACTCCGGTATGCATAATGCCGCAGACAGAAACACTCCGCCTCCACTGGCTCGAGTTTATGTTCATTGTTGTGTTGCCTGATGATTGCGAGAGCATGAAAGTAGTTGCTCGAAGTACCAGCAAGCAAGCCTTGATTGTCCTTGTTGTTCTGTTCTGTTCATTGTTGCAAAAGTCTCACTGTCAGTTTCTTGCCCATGCATGGCTGGAATGACAGTGTATAGTACTACATGTACACTCTACAGTAGTACAATCAGTACAGTCATCTACATAATTATATGTACCTCCGTAGCTGCGGGATAACTCGCTGCAAAACTAGGACTAGGGGCTTCAAGGAGAGTCGAACAGAAACTGTTCAGTGTGGTCATGCCAGTGAGTATGTCAGTAACACGTCGTTGCATACAGGTACTGGCTGTCATGTATAATTATTATAACTATAGTAACAGTTTAGGAACACTAAACAAGAGAAACGCCACTTCAAGTCGTCACCTGTCCTGTGAGCCTGTGAGGCTGACAAGGTAGATCTACCACAGTCCACATGGCCCACTCGACCATAGAACCCTACTCCCTATCATAAGTATCGGCTTGTATTGTGGCCAGTAATGTATGGATCAGATCTGCAGATCGGAGTCGACAGCGTTCATAAGAGGGCGTCATATTTCCACTCCAGTCAGTCAGTCTAGTCCAGCTAGTGTCAGTGACCGAGTAGTTCTCTGCGGATCGCAGATGCAGAGTGGACAGACTGTGTTACTACTAGTAGCACTAGTAGATCTACAACTACACCTGCAGCATGCTGTCTAGTCTGTCTCTACACAACTATGTACAAGCAAAACCTGATACTCTACTGCAAAATTCGTCTTTTTCGTCCAAGGATTTCGGACTGGACCGGATCAATGATAGGGTCCGGCGGACTCTGCCGGCAGAAAAATTGGCAGAATTTGGTACTTTTTCTGGTGAGTTTCATGCATGTTTGGTATTGTTATTATTTGCCTCTCCGCGTTTGCATCAGGGTGTGGTACTAAAAAATCAACAAATCAACATAATACACATCCACCCCTAGCATTCGCTCAGGCCGCTCAACAAGTCAAAAGACAGTAAGGACAAGAGTCAAGAGAAAGCGAGGGAAGGGTCACAGAGCAGCGGGGTCGAAGGAAGGAAAAAAGAAACAGGAGGCAAAGGATATTGAAGAAACATATCAGATTGTCCATTGAATTCACTTCATACATCATGTCATGTTCCGTTTGGGCAAATCCGGGCATTCCTCTGCAGGCTCAGGTGCGGAAAAGCTGCCGCTATGCTGCTCTGTCCGGTGCCAGGTCCCTGATGTGTGAGAGATCATTATCCGTCTGCAGCTTCATTCCCTTTGATGCGAGGTCTGTTCTCAGTATTGTTGGGAGTGAGGAAGGCGGCCGGCCACGGAATTTTTTCTCATCCTTTGTTTGCCGGAAGTAGGATGACATGGCCATTTGTGCTGGGGAGTCGGGACTCCTTGTCCAGTCTGCAGATGTGACCGAGTAGTCGCATCCGTCCTCCTCGTGAAGCCACAGTTTCTGGATGAGGCCACCAGCATATTTGCTGGAACTGGAATTGACATCCGCACAGATGGATGTCGGCATCTGGGAGCTGCGCTTGGCTCAGCAGAATACTCCCGCTGCTTTATGGAGCACAAGGTTCAATCCTGGGTAGAGGAGGTGATGTCGCTCAGCACTATTGCTTCGTCACAGCCCCAAGCTGCATATGCAGCGTTTGTTCACGGCCTGCGAAGCAAATGGTCCTTCCTGTCTCGAGTCATGGCTGACCTACATTTGTACATGCAGCCGTTGGAGGATTCCATCAGAAGCAAGTTCATCCCCGCTCTCTTAGGTGGCAGGACCGTCAACGATGATGAGCGACAGCTTCTGGCTCTGCCCTGTGTTGAAACCGCTAGTCGGCACTGAGCTGACAAACCATAACACATCTCGGTGTAGGTTTTGTCCCCGGCTCACCAGCTGTAAGGGTGTGTGGATGTGTCTGCATTATAAGTAGGGCTGAAACGATTATACCGAATAATCGAGTACTCGTTTGATAACTCTAACGATCGAGCAATCGTTTAGATTACCGATTACGATTATTTTGCGTTTTTTAAATTTTCAATTTCTTACGCACTGCACGCGCGACTCGCCTTGTTACATGCTGTCAAAATCGAAAAACACTCCTACATTGTAGTGTACAACGAAGCTGGAGCATGAAGCTCGAACTGTCGAAGGTCAAGGTCGCGTCCGGTCTGCATACATAACACTTTTTTTGTGCAAAATTTTGTACATATTTCCACTTTTGGCCATTCTACGTACATATTCCAGGTGCGGCCTCTTAAAGATTATAATCGAATAATCGATCGTTATGATAAAGAGTAATCGATTGGGCTAAATGGATGATCGTTTCAGCCCTAATTATAAGTTAGAGAGCCTTTTTCAACATCCAGGCTCTAGTGAGTTGTGCAGTCAACCCCACAGAGTACCCCTGCTTTGATGCTTTGATGGCACATGTACATGCACGAGTGTCCAAAGCTATTTTCTAGTAATTTGCATTGGGCAGGCGATGCCCAAAGGACAATGGGTGATAGAGCCTTTTAGATCGGGTCCAGCGGATTCTGCCGGCAGAAAAAAAGGCTGAATTCGGTACTTTTTCTGGTAAGTTTCATGCATGTTTGGTATGTGGATAAAGAAATGGAGCAGAATTCGAGGAATTGCCCGCCATAAGGTTTGTATGGTTTAGCCAATTTCACTGCTTTTCGAGCAGAATCCGCCGGTCCCTACTATTAGAGGGGTCCGGGGCATCTCCCTGGGAAACCTTTGGAAAAAAAATCAAGGCAAATCGTGCCTTCACTTTCCACTGGTGCATACAAGAACCCCATGCAGTAAATTTCAATGTGTGGCCGTGGGTGACTGAGGAGCAAAAAATCGTCCAGAATAGTGGTCCAGCTCGAGCCGGGCCACACCGGCTCCAACATCCATGAGCCACATTAATGTTTGTGGAATCAAACCCGAGTTATCATCAAGAATACACAACCCATGATTATGGGGTTGTGTATTCTTGATGTCATGTCTTTACTGTTGCCGTGTTCAGTTTTAATCATATTTAATATTCTTTAATATAATGTTCACCGGTTAGCCGGCCCGCAATGCGGCATGCGGCAACAAGCGTTATCGGTAGCCGCCAGCTGCTTGAAAGTAACCATGGCAACTACGGCGACATGAAAATAATGTTTTCAAGCACACGGAGCACTGTGTACTTACCGCCTTGTCGTTGCGGGCAAATCCTTTAGCATGTACATGTACATGTAGTAGCAGTCTCAGTGACTGCGGTCGTGGAGCCGTGGCCATGCTGCTGCTGCTGCTGCTAGAGATCACGGTGCAGCCGCCGGGCTGTCCGTCTTTCGGCCGGGACGTACTCGGGTACTCAGGTACTGGTATGCTACTCCGGTCGGCCATGGCGTGACTTGTACACAGCCTCTACCCGTACCAGTGCGGTGCTGCTGGTAATGCTGAACTTTTATGTTCCATTTTAAAATACACATAATAATAATTTATTATTATCATCTACATGTACATGTACATGTATACTGTGTCAGTGATTTTCACTGATCTGTTTAGTACAGGCTGAAGTACAAGTAGGACTCAGGCTTTCATATTACAATGTAGGATTGAAGACTTGAACTGAGTTGAAGCAGCTGCTACTCGTCATCCCTACTCGTCCTAATGCCTGTGTTCAATCTTCAAACCCTTTTCTTCTGCTCTCAGGATAGCAGTGACTGACTGTTGCTACGCTGCTACTAGTGCTACATGTAGTAGGAATAGGAGATCTACTGTACAAACTCAGTCTTTGACTTATGACTTTCAGTCTTCAGAGCAAAATGGAAGCTGATTTTGAAAACCACACAGGAATATCTGCATCAAACAGTGCGCTACCGACACGTGACATGTACCACTCCGTGGCAGTCCGTGCACGCGTGACTCATGACTTGTTGAGTCATTCGATTCGACGTGAACGAGCAGTGGGGACGATCCCTAAAAATTGCGTCAGGATGCCGTCAACATGAAATGAATTTCGAAAATATTTTTGGTTTTGAAAAGCAGAAAATGAGTTCGTTGCCTCCGAAGTAGATAAGCTTACTTTCATTGCCAGAGACAAACAAACCAAGGAGGTGTTAGTCCGATAACTCAGTATTCCGAGGTGGTCCTGCGATTTGGAAGTAGTGATTGAACCTCGAACTGATCGAATCCACCTCGATACTTCTTCCATATCAGAAATGGATCAGACAACATATTTTCGTGCTGTGATCAAAGCTGTTCGTTCGCAGCAGCGTCACCAACAGCAAAGTAGTGATAGCTTGCCGTCCAATCATGGTATTCTACCCAAAGCTAAGCGCTCCTCAAAATCTGCGTTCAGCAACCGGGCAAAAGATGTTGTAAGGCCATTATAAATCTTGAATACAAGTAAATTGTGAATGGATTTTATTACATCATGCATGGTCTGTGTGCATCAGTCGTGCACAGACTGATACTCTTTCTACGATGATAGGTGTCCTGGAATACATGTACTAGCATGACATGTACATTGGCCATCCAGCTCACACACATGCACACACATGCACACACACACACACACACACACACACACACACACACACACACACACACACACACACACACACACACACACACACACACACACACGCACGCACACACACACACACACACACACACACCATACTGTGATGTGTTGTATTTGACCAGAATGATGGATTCTGCATTTATTTAGACAACATCTCTTGGCACGTCAGAAGACGGCCAATTATTCCGTAGAGATGAAGGCGCAGAGTGGAAAATACAAAGAGGGAGGACAGAGAAAAAAGAGAAGAAAAAAAAGAAAACGAGCTTGAAAGCCTTGATAATAGGGAGGTTCCGGAGTACGACTTTTCGTGCCAAAATCCGTAGAGGCGCTACGGATTTTTTATACGTCGTTTTCGAGCAGTGAAATGTTCCGGAGTACGGAACTTATGTGTTTGCCGTCATTGCCTAGGTTACGATCGCAAACATGTCACCTTCCCGCGCTATGCCTTTTTATTTTGAAAATTTTTACTGAAATCAAAACTTCCCGCGGAAAATCGATGTTTCTCGTACCAAATTTGTACGCGAAAAATCTTTCTGCACCCGATGACGCAAAATCTCCATACGAAACATGGTTCGTGTGAAAGCCAGTCCACACAGATTCTCCGTGCCGAAAAATCGTATGGAGCATGCCTGGAAAAAATCCGTAGCGCCCATACGGATTTTGGCACGGAAAATCGTACCCCGGAACCTCTCTATTAGCACAGGATGATCAAGAAATACTTGCAGGTTAAAGTTACACATTATAGAGAATGCAACATGGCTATGAAGTGTGCATGCTGCTGCATTGTGAGATGTAATGAAGTGTGCATGCTGCTGCATTGTGAGATGCTATGAAGTGTGCATGCTGCTGCATTGTGAGATGCTATGAAGTGTGCATGCTGCTGCATTGTGAGATGTAATGAAGTGTGCATGCTGCTGCATTGTGAGATGCTATGAAGTGTGCATGCTGCTGCATTGTGAGATGCTATGAAGTGTGCATGCTGCTGCATTGTGAGATGCTATGAAGTGTGCATGCTGCTGCATTGTGAGATGCTATGAAGTGTGCATGCTGCTGCATTGTGAGATGCTATGAAGTGTGCATGCTGCTGCATTGTGAGATGCTATGAAGTGTGCATGCTGCTGCATTGTGAGATGCTATGAAGTGTGCATGCTGCTGCATTGTGAGATGCTATGAAGTGTGCATGCTGCTGCATTGTGAGATGCTATGAAGTGTGCATGCTGCTGCATTGTGAGATGCTATGAAGTGTGCATGCTGCTGCATTGTGAGATGCTATGAAGTGTGCATGCTGCTGCATTGTGAGATGCTATGAAGTGTGCATGCTGCTGCATTGTGAGATGCTATGAAGTGTGCATGCTGCTGCATTGTGAGATGATGTAATAAGCTGTGTAGCTATAGTACTGTGCATGCTGCTGCCACTTGCCGGTATGTTTTCCTGGCTTTGGGGCTATGTCGGACTCTGTGTGTGTGTATGTGTGTGCACGCACGTGCGTGCATGTGTGTGTGTTCTTAGGTCAGTTCGATAACACAGCTACGTGAGTTTCTTCTGGAACACCGCAAGGACTATGTCAATGTTACAGGGTAAGTCAGTCTGTGAGGGTTCTGTAACTTCTGTTTGTTTTTGGGACAAACACAGTACCCAGTACTCACAGTATGAAAGACAGTTCTAACACCTGTTTTTGTGCCTGTTTGGCATGTGTGTGTGTGTGTGTTTGTGTGCGCGCGCGTCTGTGTGTGTGTGTTTGTGTATGTATTCGCGTGTTCATGCGTGTGTGTGTGTGTGTGTGCGTGCGTGTGTGTGTGTGTGTGTGTGTGTGTGTGTGTGTGCATGGTGTGTGAATGTGTATTGTAGTCATCTCTCGTCCAGCAGTGCAGCAATGACGGATGTAGTGAGAGAGAAGATTGATCAGGAAGCGGCACAGCTAATTCAGACTTGCCAGCAGAGAGTACGATTTCTGCAGCAAGATGGTGAGACCACCATGTACATATATCACAGGCATTCTTCTTTCATATCTGAAGGCCGGCTTAGAACAGAAGTACTTCAGTACTAACATGCATACTAAGATAGAGGGGGATGCTAACTCACCTAGTGCATGCATGCATGTTCTATGAGAAGAGGTACCATATTGTACCATATTGTACCTTATCGCCTTCTTAGTATTTGACCCCACTAATTTCCCTAATACCTAAGCGGTCAAATATATCGCGTATTTGACTGCTTAGTCAAATACACGATATATTTGACTACTTATATTTGACTCCTTAGAATTTCTTGGACTTAGAAATTTTCTCTCCAACTTAGAAAAAGAAATTTTTGAAGAAAGCAGAAATACACAATATGGGATTTGAACCCACAACCTTGTGAATCTCAGTCACTCTTCCTTACCACCCAGCCACTGTGCTACCGATGCTGAACCTAGTTTAAACAATGACCTTGACTTTCAATGCCGTACAATGCGGTATAGGCTATAGTATAATACTAGAATTACAAGGATATGTCGTATATGAAGAGAACCTATTGCGTGGAGAACACGATAAATAGATTATAGACCTCATAGTTGGTCTATACAGGATATATAGACCTCGTAAAAGACCTCGGGGGACCTCGGTCTTTTACTCGGTCTATATATCCTGTATAGACCTCCTAACCGGTCTATAATCTATACATATTGTACCATTTTGTACCATATTGTACCATATTGTACCATATTGTACCATATTGTACCATATTGTACCATATTGTCCGGAGTATAAGCCACACTTTAAACACTCGTACTTCACCCGATAACTTTTACTACGATATTCGAATGAACCTTGAAATACGGGGTAGAAGTTCAACTCGGATGGTGAGCCAATTAAATTATGGTGAAAAGGAGAAGGAAAAGATGTTACGAGTTATGACTAACTGTCCACCAACGTAACCAGATCTTATACAGTCAGCGAGTGCGACAAAATGGAACAAAACTGACAAGGAGTACGGAGACATTCGGTGACCTGACACCTAGCTCCAACACTTCTCCAAGGCGCAAACCAACAACCTTCCAACTTGGAAGGGGGGGGGGGGGGGGGGGTTGGTGGACAGTTAGTCATAACTCGTAACATTTTTCCTTCTCCTTTACAGGGTAGAAGTTTGTATTTTGTAAAAAAATTCTGGGTGTGGCTTGTACAGTACTTGGGAAAATGTGGTAGACTTGCTTACTTGTAGTAGTGTGAGCTTGTGTGAGACATGGGTGTATTGTCCAGCAGTAAAGTATAGTGATTAGACAAGAAATACCTCAGATACTTAGTACAGTTTCCTGTTCGCTACGGGAATACGTCTCATCCGCGTCCTACCAGAATCCCATTCTAGCTGTATGTCTGTATGTTGGATGTTACTTTGCTGGTGTTGTGGATAACACCTCTGCTTTGCATCGGAGTTTTCTGCCCAGAGTTTTTAAGGTTTGACTATAAACAGCATGGAAAACGAAACAGGGGGTCTTCGTTTGATGTTTGAGATTGAAGAACTTTGCCGTGCCTAAGGCCCCTTGCACACTACATAGAAAATCCCATTTTTGTTGCGTTCCTGTAAAAGTTACCATGCAAACGGTCTGCTTTTCGCGGGAAACCTAAAATGTTGCGCAAACGTATTCAGCAAACTCCAAACGGGTATACAAAGGCGCGTTTATGTTTTATTTGCATTTCTGGACCGTAGTTTGCTTTGCACCTGTCCTTCCGTGAGACTTCTTGACTCTTGTCGTCAGCTCTTTCTTCCTTTCGATTTGTTCCTTGTTTTGAGTAGTTGCACGTTGTTTGTTTCCTTCTGTCGCGTTGAAGCTAGTTTGAGAAGATGAAGTTCAGCATGCCGAAAGTTGTGTTCAATGATGAGATGGAGGGGAAGTGGATCGAGCTGTGGGCACACTACCAGCGGGAGAAAAGTGGAACGATGAAGAAGAGGTCACAGAAGGAGAAAGAGATCGCTGAAGACCTCAATCTGTATGCTAGGAGTGTTGGCCTGGACATGGCATTCGATGGGAAGTCGCAGATCCATGTCGAAGTGATAGCATTTCACCAACACTCGAAAAACATTTCTGCAGACCAAGCTCGGAGAGAAAAGTTTAAATTTTTTTAAAATTTCCCGCACTATCTCCATGCAGCACTGGTGAGGCGGCAGTTGCCATAGAAAATTGTATGAGTATTTTATTAAAACGAAGATGTCTTTTCAAGTGTGCAATGGAACTGATCGGGACTTGCTTGAAAGTGACGCATACGCTAAAAAGCAACTTTTTACTTGTACGTAGTGTGCAAGGGGCCTAACCGGCAAACAGCAGCCTGATCCTTGACATGGACGTGCAAGAACGACATGCTAATCAATTTGGGCACAAAGATGATATGCTAGGAAGTTATGAAAAAATGCAATGAAAGAAAAGAATGGACCTTTCTGGGCTGGCCATAATCCTGCGCGTCCTAAAAGGAAACTTTGAAAATATGACCATGCCCGGTGCCACAAGGAAGAAGGAAACGAAGAGGATCATATCTTCGCTTTCCCGTCGCGCATATTGATGATTGAAATGTCTGTGTGCGCGGTTTGAAATCAAGAATGTAAATTCGCTTCGAGTGGTATGATCCGGGCTATGAAAGTGCTGGAATTGGCAATAACCTACTTGTAGGTAACCCTTGCCAAGTGTTTTGTAATTTGGGAAATTCCGGAAAAGTTGCAAACGCTAGCGTCAAGAACTTTGTGATGACAGGCAAAGATTATCGCTGTACCTGTGTGTACCGTCACTGGACCATGCATGCAGAACAACCGTGAGTTGCTGCTCTACATACGTACGGAGTGTTTCCGGAGATTGGATTCTCACCCTTTTTTCTGTGTGTGTGTATGTGTATGTTGTTGTTTTGTTCATACGGCCAGTCAAACAACTAGTAAGCAGCGTAACAAAGCAAGTGGCTGATCATCAGCAGAACACTCTGACCCTGATCAATGCATACCTGAAAGGTACGGATCTCCTCTTTCCAATGTGCCGCTTGTGCACTTGTGATTGTCTATACATGTACAGTACAACAAGTCATCTTTCACGTTGCATTAGACTGTACTCTGATGGGTGTGGTGAGAGAGAGAGAGAGAGAGAGAGAGAGAGAGAGAGAGAGAGAGAGAGAGAGAGAGAGAGAGAGAGAGAGAGAGAGAGAGAGAGAGAGAGAGAGAGAGAGAGAGAGAGAGAGAGAGAGAGAGAGAGAGAGAGAGAGAGAGAGAGAGAGAGAGAGAGAGAGAGAGAGAGAGAGAGAGAGAGAGAGAGAGAGAGAGAGAGAGAGAGAGAGAAGAGAGAGAGAGAGAGAGAGAGAGAGAGAGAGAGAGAGAGAAAGAGAGAGAGAGAGAGAGAGAGAGAGAGAGAGAAAGAGAGAGAGAGAGAGAGAATACAGAAGAGAAGGACTACTAGTATCATGCTACTAGTATTTTTTAATCTGTATGGTGGTATACAGGTGTGATTCAACTGTACAGTGAACAGCGGGCAGTTCGTGTTCGGCAACTTGTGGAAAAGCAGAAGTTGTAAGTTTGCTCATGTTCCTGGAAACAAGTGCATGGAAATTGTTTTTGGCAGAGCATCGAGATGTGTGTTGTTTGCAACTTGTCTCTGAAACATGGGCCTCAGTAAGTTTGTGCTGTGTCCGCTGGTGTGTTTCCAAGTGAGAGAGAAGCCACCTTGCTTTCAACGGCTGATAATTATGTTGTTTTGTACAGCTCTAGTGATGTCTGGATGCTACTTGTAATATCTGTCATGCCTTGCCTGTTCACACCAGGAACAGTGATTACCAAGTGTTGATTGTTTTCATTTTATCCCATGTGTGAGCCTAAGCTGATAGGGCTTGAAAGTGCTACGTCACAGCATAGCAACGATTTCAAAAATTCGAAAACTGGATCCACATGGATCCAGTTTTTGTATGGATCCAAGCACATTTCAAGTGGTCTTACTCACAGCAAGGTGATATAGCCGGTGAAATTGACTGATTTGGCTAATGGGTGTGGCGCGACAACTGGTGGCGAAGTAAAAGTCACACCTGCATACAACATGAGTGGGTTGCTATGCACCCACACACTGAGTCCAGGGTTCTAGCCAAAGGGGGGGGGGGGGGGTAGGGGGCGCAGCGCCCCCCTACTCTGTTTGCGCCCCCCCCCCCCCCCTGTGAAAAACTGCCGTCCCCCTACTCATTTTCCGATTTTCGTGTTTTTCATGCATAGATGGCTCATAAAGGCACATTTGTCTGGGGTGAAGTCAGGGATTCGCCCCATACGTTGCATTTGGCGTGGCAAGACAATATTGGAAAGTGGAAAAATGGGATATAGGGTAACTGTTTCCCATGCCCCCCCCCCCCCCCCCCCTACTATTTTGACCTGACTAGAACCCTGCAGTCAATAGAGAGGTTAAGATGCACGTTATTTCCGACGTGACGTGCAATTTCACGTCAAATTTGGCGTAAAACTCCAAATTTCGACGTGAGCAGCAGGTCGCTCGCGTTGATTTTTCGACGTGCGAGCAAATAACGCGAGCTGAACTTTCGCGTCACGTCGGAAATAACGTGCATCTTAACCTCTCTAATAGCAAACTCACACCTTAGTGTATCCAAAAGTAGAAATCTGATGTGAACTTACTACTTCCTGGCCGTTTTGACGTCATCACTTTCAAGCCCTATTGTCATGTTTGCGCCGCTGCTTTCTGTAGATCTCGTCTTGAAACGGAATCGTCCAAACTTCAGCCCGCATCAAGACAAGCCTCTAAAGCATCGGCATCAGCATCCGATGGGTCCTTCGCCAGTGAGTGCTTGTGTGCTGGCACTGCTGAGCGGGAGGTGTGTGTGTGTGTGTGTGTGTGTGTTTGTGTGTGCTGTAAAGAGAGAAATTTTCGCTACAGATTAAATTTCGCTATCTTCGCGACCACCACACATTCGCGAATATAAATCGTCGCACACTGATCTGTAAATTGACTGTAGACAGTACAAGATCCAAATGAAGAGATAAAATCGCGAAAATTTCTCGTCGTGAACGAGCGCAATTCTTGAGAACGTGAAATTTGCGCGCCGTAAAATTTTATCGCTTTAGGGTATGTGAGTGTGCGTGGGTACACGCATGTGGTGGTTGTATTGGTGCGTGCATGTGTGTGTGGGGAGGGGGGGGGGGGGGGGTATACGTGTTATGTGCGTGTGTATGTGGGGAGGGGTGTACGTGTGTGTGTGTGTGTTTCATGCATGCATGCATAACTCTCAAATGACCTGCACTTTTTGAAATGTGACCGTTTTGTATACTAGTAACACAGGTGTTTGGAACGAAGAAAAAGTCAAGGTGTTGACCTTTTACCCGCGTCTATGTGTGTGTATGGTTGCCTATGTGAATGTACGTGTGTGTGTGCGTGTTCGTGTGTGTGTGTGTGTGTGTGTGTGTGTGTGTGTGTGTGTGGTTGCCTATGTGCTCGTGTTTATGTGTGTAGGTCATTTCTCTCGTCTCTCCAAACACTGGACGGGAGAGTCCAAGGAAGAACTAGCAGTAGCAGCCAGTAGCAGTACAGGAGCAACGGCGGCAGCTGCTGCTGCTGACAGGCCACCATCAGCAGCAGATAGTTTTGCTGGGGCGGAAAGTGAACAGCACGATCAGAAAGAAGAAGAAGAAGATATCTTATCCGTGGCAGAGCGAATGGAGGTACACAATGTCATGTTATGCATGTTTGCATTGCACTGAAGGAGACTGTGGTGATTCGGCTGAACTGAAATCAGTGACATTTCCCCATCAATTGTTACTGTTGGAGCGAACGTCCTCACAACAGAAGTGTTTCTCGTAGTCGGCTGGGCCTGATCATGCCTTCGGGGGAGAGAGGGGGGGGGGGGGGAATACTGCACTCAGGTGTGGGGGGGGGGGGGAGGAAGTACTGCACTCAGGTGTAGGGGGGGGGGGAGTACTGCACTCAGGTGTAGGGGGGGGAGCACTGCACTCAGGGGGGGGGGGGGGAGTACTGCACTCAGGTGTAGGGGGGGGGGGGGAGTACTGCACTCAGGTGTAGGGGGGGGGGGGGAGTACTGCACTCAGGTGTAGGGGGGGGGGGGGGAGTACTGCACTCAGGTGTTAGGGGGGGAGTACTGCACTCAGGTGTAGGGGGGGGGGGGGGGGGAGTACTGCACTCAGGTGTAGGGGGGGGGGGGGGGGGAGTACTGCACTTAGGTGTAGGCACCGAGGACATGAAAGTTGAGCTAGCAATCGTGCACCAAGCAACAATTCAAGGATGAAATTGTCCGTCCTGCCTGGTTGTGATGAGTTGACAGATATGAAATGTCATGTGGTCAATCTTTTGTCGTGTTATCATGTTGTCATGCTGTTGTTGCCGTGTTTCTAGTTTGAACAAGAGAATGTACGGTTACCGCATGAAATGGATTTGCTGCAAGATGATGTCAAGTAAGGATAATGAACCGGTGATGTGTGTTGTTGCCCTTTGTGTCCCTGGTCTTGTGCCCCGGATCTTGTGTCCCTGGTCTTGTGTCCCTGGTCTTGTGTCCCTGGTCTTGTGTGTTCACACGAAGGAACACGTTATCTTATCTTTTCACTCCAAATACAATTACACCTGAAAGAGCAGCCTAGCTAGCTACACAACGCGAACCAAGGAACTACTAAAACCGAAAACATTCCATGTCGGTACACAACCGAAGACAAAAGGCAAAGATGAAGTAATTTATGCAGCACTGTCAGCTGGCAAAACAGCAGAGGCGTAGCCACCGCACACGCGCTGTTGTACGGCACGAAAGCTAGCCATGATACTATGCAATACAAATGTATGACCATGCACAGCAACAAGCAACAACATACAGCTAAGAAGTATATGCATGTAATACATGAACGGCCAGTTGGAAATAGTTATGACGCCACTTTGTAGATCGCCCCCATGAATAGAAAACCACAAGAGAGACAGGGAAGACTACAGCCTACAGTGTAGCTCAGGCCTTGATACATGAATCACTATTGCAGTATTGGCACAAGACAGAGAAAGGACTGCTCCAGCTATCAATAATAAAAGGAACCATTACTTCTAGTCTTAGTGATGCCATGCCAGAGAAATATTACGTACTACCGTCTGAACATCCTCCCCCTCGCAATATGCACCCAGATGTTGCATGATGCCTATCCTTACAACTACCAGTACCAAGCTAAGAGAAAAGTGAATCGAAAGGGCAAGTTCAGCGGTAGGAAGCTACAAAAAAAACCAAAAACAATGCATGAATCATTAGTGGGGGTCGTCACTGAGCAGTACCTCCATTCTGGCATGTAGGGAGAGCCGTCTAACATTCCAGTGGACAGACTCGAGTGATGGATCTCTTCAGAGTCTTCCCGCCCACTTGCATGGCCACCACACGCACATGTCCGTCCGGACCAGGGAAAACTTCCGTGACTCTGCCGAGCGGCCAACGCCCACGCGGGGAGCTTGAATCCATCACCAGGACAACGTCGTCAACGGCCAGATCGCGTCGCTGGTGTCGCCACTTCATCCGCTGATTCAACCGTGGGACAAACTCTTTCAGCCAGCGATGCCAGAAATGGTCGATGAGCATTTGAACATATCTCCAACGTCTCTGCAGTTGACACCCCTTCTCGTCCGTTGTTGCAATAACCAGCTGGCCCTCGGCCATGCCATGAAGGAAATGGTTCGGAGTTAGCGGCCCTGGATCCTTCGGACTAGCCGATTGGTAGGTGATGGGCCTGGAGTTGACGAGGGACTCTGCTCCGCTGAGAGCGGTGACCAACTCCTCGTCCGTCACAGATGCGTCTCCAAGGATGGCGTGTAGAGCTCGTTTGGCGGCTCGAATCATTGCCTCGTGAACTCCCCCGAAATGAGGAGCTAATGGCGGGTTGAAACTCCATTTCACGCGTCTGCAGGCCATGGCTTTCCGGACGGTGGTATTGTTCAGTTGGCCAACAAGCTCACGTAGCTGGCGGTCGGCATTCACGAAGTTGCCTCCATTGTCCGACAGAACCTCCATTGGACAACCTCGTCGGTTGGCCATCCGGTTAAAGGCGTTCAGGAAAGAATTTGCATCCAATGCGTACGCCATCTCCAAATGGACCGCACGAGTCAGCAAACACGTGAAGAGGCACAGATAGCGTTTGTGGCGAGTCTTTCCTCTCCCCTGCATAGTTTCGAACGGCCCTCCGTAGTCAACGGCTACCCTGCTGAAGGCTCTCAGTGGCTCACACAATCGCTTTGCTGGCAACGGGGCCATGATTTGCTCTCCCGCACGGGCTTTTAGTCGTCGACACACCATGCAGTCTTTCTCCCAGTCACGGATCTCCTCCCGTGCTGCTTCGACAAGATAGTGATCAGAGAGAGCTGCCAACGTTTCATTCGTCCCGCCATGATGACGTTGCTCATGGCAATCTTTGACAATAAGCCGGGTGGTCGGATGTTTCCGGGGGAGAAGAATCGGGAAGCGCACATCAAACGGCAACCAGTCAGCCAGCTTGGTGCGACCATCGCAGCGCAATAGTCCGTCGTCGTCCAGTCGAGGCGATAACCTCGCCAAACGTGACTTCAGCGGAAGTGGTTGACCATTCTTCACTAGCTTCAGATCCTCCGCGAATGCCTCGTGCTGTGCCTCTTTGATGATGGAAAGGCTGGCAGCGTCCATCTCCTCGCCGGTTAGCTCTCCGCTCAACTCCTCACCTCCACGGCAGTTGGTGATGAAGCGAATTGCCCAAGCCCGTACTCTGACTACGCGCGTCCAGTCTGAGAAGCGCCGAGAGCACAAGCTGGGTACTTTCTCGGACAAAAATGACATCACCTCGGGCTGTGCAGCCTTGCGAGCTTCCGCTCGGGCAGCTGGGTCTTGGCCACCCACGATCTTGGCTGGCCATTCAGATTCTTCTTTCTGCAGGAAGGCCGGTCCTTGCCACCACAGCTCAGTTGCAACCAGTTGCTCTACCCCAGCTCCCCGTGACGCCAAGTCAGCTGGGTTGTCGCTGGAGGGAACGTACCGCCATTGACTGGGCGACGTAACAGTCTGGATGTGGCTGATGCGATTCGCCACAAACGGTTTGAAACGTCGGCTGTAGCTGCGAATCCAGAGCAGCACAGTTGCACTGTCGCTCCAGAAAATCACCTCTGACATGGCAATGGTCATGATCTGACTGAACTTCCGGGCCAGCTGAAGGCCAAGCACAGCCGCCAGCAATTCCAGCCGGGGGATACTTTGTGTTCTTGTCGGCGCCACTCTGCTCTTGGCTCCAGCGAGACGAACGTTTCCCTCAGAGCCACGCTGCACGGTGGAGCTGTAGACCACGGCACCATACGCCACACTCGACGCATCACAGAAAACATGCAGCGTCACTCCACTGGCCACGTCCGGGATGAGACATCTTGGTACTCGAACTAAACTGAGCTTCGCCAGGTCATTGAACCACTGGCGAGCGCTGGTGTCGATGCCATCTGGAACCGGTTCATCCCAGTCAATACCAGCTACCCAACTTTCTTGCATGAGGATCTTGGCTTGGGTCACGAACGGTGCCAGAAACCCCAACGGGTCGAATACGGACGCGACTTTTGCTAGGAGGAATCGCTTGGTGATGCGTTGGTTGGTGAGGTCTGGCGGTTGAACGCTGAAGAAGAAGCAGTCTGCCTGACCGTCCCATGACACTCCTAGCGTCTTCACGGATGGTAGCTCTCCTTGGGATAAGTCCAGCTGGGTAGCGCGAGCCTCGGCTGGAATTACCCTCAGGAGCTCGGGCGAGTTGGACACCCACTTGCGCGGCGTCATCTTGGCCTCACCCCACAGATCCATTAGCTCCCGATGAAGAATCTGACCTTGTTCGACATCTTTGGTGCTGTCCATCGTGTCATCCATGTAGGTGGACGCGAGGATAGCTTCTGCTGCCAGGGGATGCGACGCCAAATGTTCCCGGGCTGTCTGCTGAGCAACGTACTGGGCGATGAATGGTGCAGCATTGACGCCAAAGACCAGGCGGTTGAACTCAAAGTGCCGTAAAGGCTTGGCCGGATCCAGGTCCCGCCACACGAATCTGAGGTACTTCCTGTCTGCTGGCGCAACCGACACCTGCAAATACATTTCGGTCACGTCACAGCCCACTGCTATAGGCTTTTGCCGAAACCTGGTCAACACATCGAACAACTCACGTTGGAGCTTCGGACCAGGGTAGATGGCATCGTTGAGGCTGAGGCCATGACAGGATGCTGCAGCGTCAAAGACGATCCGCACCTTGGTTGTCGTCTTCTGCGGTCGGACGATGGGAAAGTGGGATAAGTACCAGCATACCTCTTGACCTAGCTCTTCCTTCGCGAGCTCCCGGATATAGCCGTTCCTCTGGTAGGCCTGGAAGACTTGGCCATAAGCCTGGGCAACGAATGGGTCTTTCAGGAGCTTGCGCTCGGTGTGGCCTAGACGTTTCGTAGCCGCACCCAAGTTGTTGCATAATTCTCTCTTACGATTGTTCCACGGCAGAGACACCTGGTACCGACCGTCCACCTTCTTCAGCGAGTGTTTGACGATGTCTAGGGCTGTCTCTTCCTCCAGCGAGCGCGGGCCGGGCTCACTGAAGCTCTCCTCCGTGCCGCAGCTGTCAATTTGCCAGAACTGCTGTAGCGCGGTCTCTAAGCCGGTTGGTGTTGCTCTCTCCTCACTCTGAAACGCTTGGCTGTGGAACGTCCTTTGACTCGAGTGGGTTCCCGTCACTCTGCCAACACAGGTCCAACCCAGTGGAGTATGACGCGCCACTGGTTGACCAGGCGGGCCGACCACTTCCTGCTGTGACACAAGCAGCTCAGCATAGTCGCTCCCAATCAGCAGATCGACCCTGGCGGGCTCCGCCAGTCTTGCGAACGGAATCTCTCTCAGATGAGGATACTTGACTGCTTCCTTGACCCACTCTACCGGACGAAGATTCCCGGTGACCGAATCAGCCGTCAGCGCCGTCATAGATTGCCGAACACTGCCATCCATGCTGCCAATGGTGAAGCTTACTGGTCTGGTTGTGAATGAGGTCTGCTTGCCATTCAAGGTGTGGACTGTGAATGTCCTCAGCTCCCCGCTGACGCCGAGCTGGTTGGCAATGCTGCCGTTGAGGTAGCTCGTCGTGCTACCGTCGTCCAGCAACGCATTCACTTGCACTGACTTGTGGCCGTTCTCCAAGACGACTGAGACCGTTCGCAGAGCTATCTTGCCCGGGCCTTGGACCATCATGGTGGAATCACTCTTCGTGGACTCCGTCTCCCCCTCGGTGAACGACTGTGGGGTGCGCTGCTCTTGGTCTTTACCGGCGTATGGCGGCGTTACTAAACAGTCGATGGCGGGAGGCAATAACTGGTCCCCTGTCTCCTGACCTGAACCATTGTCTCCATAGTTGCAGAATTGTTCGGCAGGACTGAGTTGGGACTTGTCCGCCGTCATTCCTCCAGCTGCCGTGTTCCCCGATTTTTGCTTGTTTGACTGTGCGGCATCGGGGTTCCTGCTGTCCTCGTGTAGCAAGTCCCGGTGTAGCAAGTAGTGGTGATTGTTGTTGCAGCCGCTCACTGAGCAGGGTCTGGTTCGTGGACAGTGGTGACCTTGGTGATCGCCTCCAAGGCAGCGGTAGCACAGACCATGCTGTTTAGCCTGTCTCCAGCGATTGGCGACGGAAAGCTGCTGAAATGCTTTACACTGCCAGACGCCGTGAGGTCCGCCACATTGCCGACATGAAGATCGTCCAGCCGCTGAGCCCGCAGGCCTTGACCACCCTGCATTCTGCGAAGCCTTTCCCCCGAAGTAGGATCGTTGAGGAGCATTTCGGGGTGCCGGAGGCTTGTCCTTCGCGCCAACTCCATCTAGTGCTTCGGACGCTCCAACGGCAAACTCCGCTTCCAACGTCACCCACTCCAGTAGTGCTTGAATTCCTGGCTGGCAGGGCTTCTGATGACACCATCGATTGAATTGGGTTAACATCCCAGCCGGCAACTTGGCCAGGAGCTTCCGGTACAACAGCCCATCACCCAGCTCATTGCCTTTTCCGGAGTCGAGGAGGTTGACCACGAGTACGTCGAGGAGATCTGCGAACTTCTGGAGATCTCCTGCTCGGCCGGAACGAATGATTGGGCAGGCCTCGACTTGCTCGTACTGCAGCGACAGCTGTCGTTGGTCGCCTCCAAACTTGCGGTCTAACCGCCTCATTGCGGCCTCATACGCAGACGGGGTGTATCCCAAGCTCTCGATGGAAGCCAAGGCATCTCCACTCAAATACTGCCGGAGGTGCAGCAGTTTCAAGTCTGCCCTTGCAGACGAGCTACCAACACACGCCATGAAAGCAGCCTTCCATGAGGCATACGCCTGCTTATCGCCGCCGAAGACTGGGATCTGTATAGCCTTCAGTTGCTTGAAAATTTCATCTGATGGCTGCTTGACAGGTGGAGGCTGAGACACAGCACGCTGGTGGCTGGCGGACACACCTGCTCCTGGCAATGCTGAAAAGGCACCAATGCCCATGGCCTGATGACTTGAGGCTACCTGTGGTGGCCCACTGGCCTGGGTGTACAGATAGTTGGCGGACTGATATGGCAGAGATGATGTAGGGTGTAGTCCTGACACAGGAGCCTGAGTACTACTGCCCTGCTGGCCTGGACTCTTCGCGACTTGAAGTTGAGGGGCCTTGGTCTCACTCACTCTAGTATATGCACTGGACACACATACAGCACTCCGTGTTGGCACAGCAGGCTGTAGTACAGGCAAGGCAGGGCTTCTTTCACGCTCTGACCTCCTACTCCCAGCTTCCATTGGTGGCCTTGTTCTAGCCCCAAGCTCTGCCTCTCTGTTACTACTGCCGGAGACACTTGTGGTCACAACCACTTCATCACTGTCTTCTACTCTTGCCTGGTTCTCCTGAACCAGCGCCACGCCATCACCAGGCTCATCCCGATCCTGGGAGCCTTCACTTCTGCCCAGCGATATCACACTCAGTGGACTTCCTGGCTCTTCCACTGGTGCCTGGGCATACTGATGATACGCTGGCCTGTCTGGGTGGCTGTTCCGTGCAGCCGTCCACGCTGGCTGGTGTTCTAGGAACTCCTGATACAGCCTTGTGACCTCCTTCATCTCTTTCTCCGCTTCCTCCATCTCATCGGTCACTTTGGCCACTGCGAGCGCATCGTTCATGCCGCCAGCCCACTCGAGTACGTCCATGAACACACCGTTCAGGACATCCTCGATCATTTCTAATTCGCCAAACAACGACCTCGCAGCTTCCTCTTCAACTCCGTCACGCAAGGCCACGATCACGGCTCTGCGACACCTGGTGAACTTTCTCTTGCGATTCGCTTTTTCAGCTTTCATTTTCACGAACATCAGTTCATTCGATCGCTGGTCTCTTTGACCATGTTCGTCCTCTTCGACTTCCTCGTCCTCCTCGATCACGTCGCCTGCCCTCTCTGCCATGGCACCTAAAAAGAGCTCAGTTCTCTGACTGCTAGCCCTGATTGTGCTCTCACTCTCAGGCTCCGGCGACGACATGATCTAAATAATTTAAATTTCCGAAACTGAACTGCTCACTCAGGCGATAACCATCCTCTGCTACCAGAATGTTCACACGAAGGAACACGTTATCTTATCTTTTCACTCCAAATACAATTACACCTGAAAGAGCAGCCTAGCTAGCTACACAACGCGAACCAAGGAACTACTAAAACCGAAAACATTCCATGTCGGTACACAACCGAAGACAAAAGGCAAAGATGAAGTAATTTATGCAGCACTGTCAGCTGGCAAAACAGCAGAGGCGTAGCCACCGCACACGCGCTGTTGTACGGCACGAAAGCTAGCCATGATACTATGCAATACAAATGTATGACCATGCACAGCAACAAGCAACAACATACAGCTAAGAAGTATATGCATGTAATACATGAACGGCCAGTTGGAAATAGTTATGACGCCACTTTGTAGATCGCCCCCATGAATAGAAAACCACAAGAGAGACAGGGAAGACTACAGCCTACAGTGTAGCTCAGGCCTTGATACATGAATCACTATTGCAGTATTGGCACAAGACAGAGAAAGGACTGCTCCAGCTATCAATAATAAAAGGAACCATTACTTCTAGTCTTAGTGATGCCATGCCAGAGAAATATTACGTACTACCGTCTGAACATTGTGTCCCTGGTCTTGTTTCCCTGGTCTTGTGTCCCTGGTCTTGTTTCCCTGGTCTTGTGTCCCAGGTCTTGTGTGCATGTATCTCCACAGTGCTACTGTTGTTGTTGTTTCAAATCTTTATTCTCACGATAGCCAGTGGCCAATAAGAGATAATAGTGTAAGAAAGGAGAAAGAGTGATGTTGTTGTTGTTGTTGTTGTTGTTGTTGTTGTTGTTGTTGTTGTTGTTGTTGTTGTTGTTGTTGTTGTTGTTGTTGTTGTTGTTGTTGCTGGTGCGTTAATCCCATCTCCGGTCTGTACTGGTGTAAGCGTATGCGGGTTCAACCAACCGCTCCATTGCTTATGAGTAGGTATTTCACTGTGTAAAGTCATGTCTTGAGCTCTTGTACTGGTGATGTCTTGAGCTCTTGTACTGGTGATGTCTTGAGCTCTTGTACTGGTGATGTCTTGAGTCCCTTACACTGGTGATGTCTTGAGTCCCTTATATGTTTCATGTACATGTATATGCAGGGCCAGCAGGCATGCAGGGCCAGCAGGCATGCAGGGCCAGCAGGCATGCAGGGCCAGCAGGCATGCAGGGCCAGCAGGCATGCAGGGCCAGCAGGCATGCAGGGCCAGCAGGCATGCAGGGCCAGCAGGCATGCAGGGCCAGCAGGCATGCAGGGCCAGCAGGCATGCAGGGCCAGCAGGCATGCAGGGCCAGCAGGCATGCAGGGCCAGCAGGCATGCAGGGCCAGCAGGCATGCAGGGCCAGCAGGCATGCAGGGCCAGCAGGCATGCAGGGCCAGCAGGCATGCAGGGCCAGCAGGCATGCAGGGCCAGCAGGCATGTTTGATTAGTAGGACCATCATCAGTAGGAACACAACCAGTCATGCACTGCGCTACATTGTTCATCGTAGCATCACTAGCGTGTACCCTTCACTACATGTACCTGTACACTCTGTTGGTGTTGATGTGAAGTACTGGTATGCACTGGTATGAACTGGTATGCAGTGGTATGCACTTTTTGGACTGACTACTGCTACTACTGTTTGCTGCAGTGCAGAACAATGAGTATACAGCACTACATGTATGTTGATTACCGTGTACATGTAGTAAGTGTGCAGTGGGATTATCTTTGATTGCACACAGGAAAATTGAGACAACGGTGATGGCAATTTCAAAGCTTCAAGAAGAATTATCCGAACATATCATCGGCCAGGTTAGTCTACAATTCCCAGCAGTCAGCAGACTATGCCTGTTGTGGATGAGCTGCATGGCACAGTGCAGATTGGTATTATGGAGTTGACATTGTGAGGCGTGTGTGTGTGTGGGGGGGGGGGGGGGTGAGTATGCGATCTACAGTTCGTGATCTACAAATGACCGCTGTGGGGGAGTGGGGGAACGCCCAGAAATAACAAGAGAGCGTTCTTTTGTGCGACACTGTCACACAATATTCATGTGCTGCATGCAGCGTCTGCTGCACACCATACATTCGTTGTGCACTCAGCAGTTTTATCTGATGTATTCTTGTTGCTGCTGCTGCTGCTGCTGCTGCTGCTGCTACCGCCACTGCTGCTTGTGTGGCTGGTGTTTGCGTTGCTGTTGCTAGGCTGATTTAATTGACAGAGTTGCTGATGACGTTGTGGAGTCGACAGAGAATGTGACTTTAGGCAATGAGAACATGAGAGAGGTATGTATGATGGACCCAGCAGCAGGCCTGTTCCTATAACGGGTCGGTTTGGGTGTTCTCCCTATAGCGGGTCGGTTTGAGTCGCATATATGGACAGCTCAGAGTGCAGTGCAAGAGGTGCATGTCGTATGCCTTATACTTATAGACGCAAAATAATAGCTAGCTCAGAGTACACAGCGTCATGTACACTCTGTGCTTCAAATAAGCAAAAAAAGCAGATGTAGAAGGTCAACTAAATAAAGGAGAACTGAAGATCAGAGGATCAACTAAAGGTTATGGTTACGCAATGCATATCAGAATATTCCCGTAATCTAAACAATAAAATAATGCCGTTGCGCTCCACGTGCAGTGCAGAATCTACACATGTACAGAGTAAACACGCATGCGTGTATTTAGGAAGGAGATCAAACACCTACTGTTTCGAAACAAGGAGTTACTTCGTTTGGTTTCTGGAAGCCGTGGAAGTTGACCGTCCTTCTCGGTCTCGTGGCTCGATGGATGCCTGGGTTGGTGCGTTCCTGACATGACTACCAGCAAAGGAGCCGACTGGCGAGTCGTCGGTGTCGACAATGTCGTACAAGCGGAAGAAATTCTCTCGACGCAAAGCAGCTACGCTCCCCCTATGCCACTGCGTCATCAGTGCCGCTGTGCCGGCTGCTCCGCCTAGGTTTACAGCTTTCTTGTAGTGAACAACGTCTCCTACAGCATGCTCAAATGGAAATTCCTCTGGCGTCCATGCGAGCTCGAGCGGGTTTGCTGCTCCTGTCTCTGGTGCTGTCGGCTGTGGCTCCTGCTGGCCTAAAGGAACGTCCTCATCGTCGACCTCATCATTGTCATTTGCTTCATCGGCCAAGTTCAGGTTTCCCTGACACTGGAGAAAGTCCTTCTCATCTGTGGTCAGATTACAGCGCTCCTGCTTGCGAAACAAGGAAAAGTTTGGCTTCTGGAAATACATCTCGTACGGAGTTTTCCCGTGTAGGCTTCTGTGGACGCGGTTTTTGTAGCTGTAGTAAAACAGCGGCAGACGATCAGGCCAATTTATATCTTCCAGCAGGTCACGTCTTAGGAATTGCGCCAGTGTCTGGTTGAAGCGCTCTACCCGGCCTTGACTTTGTGGGTGATACGGTCGGCCGTTGATCTTCTGTGCCCTCATCTCGTCCATGAGTGCCGACAAATCACCATTGTTGAATTCTTTCCCGTTGTCCGTTTGGAGAATTCTTGGAGGTCCGTACAAGTACATTGCAGAAAGGATCACGCGGCACACTTCCTTCGCAGTTTTGGCTCTGATGGCACCACCCATCGCGAATCGGCTGGCTCTGATGGCACCACCCATCGCCAACATTGTCTTGGGCAAAGGATTCTGTCGGGCACAGTGCTCACATTCGAGTGTTTGGCGCAGCAGTTGCAGGACTGTCTCTCGGACTGTCTCTCGGATGATAGGATAATACGAACACCGTAATGATTCGTATATCGTCTCGGGTCCCCGATGATCAATACTATCAAGAGTAGATAAACAAGAGTGTGCAACTCGCGGATGGGTTGGCCCACGGCGGAATTTTTTGTTGACTTAATCTTTTCGACGACGCACGCGCTGCGAGCCTTTTGGAGAGTTTTCCCTCGTGCACTTGGCTGGGCTTTACACTACAAGGTCGGTGCCCAGCACGTGCTCTCACACTGCTCTGCGGCAAAGCCGCGTTTCTCTGAAAAAAGGTGACGTAAACAAAAAATTCCGCCGTGGGCGTGGGGTATCTGCAGATTGTGCAGGAGAGATCCGGAGTTGCACACTCTTGTTTATCTACTCTTGATACTATGTTCTTCTGCAATCTTGCTGATCAATTCCTCCCTTGAGATGCATTTCCTGTGCGCAACGTTTAGCTCGTTTGACTTGTAATAGAGTGCGCCATCCTCGTAGAAGAATCTCTCAATAATTTTCTTGATACGTTGTTCATTAAGACTTCCATAGTTTCCATCTTCTACCAGCTGTTTCATTAGCCTCGCTGCTCCCCACGCTTTGTTCAGAGCTCTTGCCTTGCAAACTAGTATACACTCATCTAGGCCTGCCCAAAACGTTTCTGCATTTCGATCTTTTGTCTTAGATTTTACCCTGCTCGTTTTCCCTACTGCAATTCCACTGCCCTCCGCCTCCATCATGCTCTCCCCCTATTCTTCCATATCCATCTTCGCTTCAGTATAATACATTAATAGTAATAGTAGTCTTGGTATAACCCATCCCTCATCTCTTTCACAAGATCAATAGTTCCTTCCGTTGCCTGTTTTCGTGTGAGTGCGAAATTGAGTCCCGGGGTCATGGGGTCAATGAGGATTTCCTGGTTCTTCCATTTCCGTTATACAAGGTCATGGACCCCTTGCACTCAGAGGACCCAGTCAAGACGTCATGTGTGCACTTGCATGACTTCCTTTTTTGGTCAAACCCGCCCTGCTATAGGGAGCCGACCCGTTATAGGGGCCGACCTGTTATAGGGACCCACATGTATATTATTAGCAACGTATAAACATGCACTGCTATTTCAAGTCTGTGGGTAACAGCTTGTCCTGAGAGAGCCTGAGAATGTACTTGCAGACTGCCGTGGCATACTAGCAGCTCAGTAACGTACTGGTAGGTACACAGCTGCTCGCAGTCCTCCGCAAAGTCTCCTTCCTACAAGTAGTTGTTTTGTCGTTGGGGATTTTCACATTGGGTATGAGTTTGCTTCACAGCTCTGCCCATATATTGTTGATTTACTAGAAATGAAGTTGATACTGTTGTATAAGTACATGTACAGTGTATTCCAGTTTATATGTCCCTTTCCACTTGTTCCTTATACTTCTAGGCAATCAAGAACAACGCCAGCTGGAGAGTGTGGATTATCTTCTTTCTACTGATGTGCTCGATATGCCTTCTATTCCTTGATTGGTACAGTGGATAGAGGCCCAGTGAAAAATGTAGTATCTATCCTTGATTGATACAGTGGACGTCTATTCCTTGATTAATACAGTGAACGTCTATTCCTTGATTGATACAGTGGACAATGCATATGCAGTGTACTAGCAGCAGTTAGTCATGGCGATGCTTGCCTTGTCTTCTTGCACAGTGGACAGTGAGTAACAAGTTATGCAGTGTGCTAATGGCTAGTCACAACGCTAGTTTCGTCTTTAGACGGGGGTGCTTTGCTTACATGCAACCAGTCACACGTCACCGTCTGCTGTTCTCTTGCGTCTCTCCACATAACCAGATCTAATAACTGCATAGCATCGTTGTTGTCAGTGAGTGGCATGGCTGACAAAACCACTGATCCTTTTCGACAGTGCTCCACTTGCATGCATGCTTTCTCGTATTCACGTACTCAGAGCGCTACCGAATACGCACTCTACATGATTGTACTGTTGATATCTTTAGCTTCACCATCACATGCTGCTGTACGGTAGCTGTGCGAATCCACGGGACTTTGCGAATGATAATGCTTGTATTTAGTTATTGATCGCCTTGCTGGATTGTGTGCCCCGTGCCCCCCCCCCCCCTTTGCTTGCCACTACTCACCTATGCTCTTACTGTACATAGCGGCTACTGCTGTACATAGCTGCTATTGATGCAAGATCTCTTCGCCGCTGTTCCGTGTGCCATTCTTACGCCAAGCACGCTGCCATGCAGTGTCCTGGCCGCTAGCGGCATGATTGCCGTCCTGCTACTGCTGCCCAAGCCTGTTTGTTTTAATAGCATCTTTGAGAACACACATCTCCTAGCGTGTATCTCCCATTATTATTGTTATTATTCTTGAATCTCTTGACTTGATCTTGTCTAACCATGCGGGTTTTTTGTGCTTTTGAATTTCAGAAATTTTATTTTATTTTTTAATAGCGAGGAGCCTTGCCTTTGGTTGGCGGTGTTCACAACGCCCCACCTAAACAACGGCGGTGCTGGATAGTCGGCCCCGTCTCAATAGTGGTTTGTTCTGTCAACCCTCAACTTCTGTGTTTTAGTCGTAGGTATCTTCGTCCTTCCTGTCGTTTTGTTATCTTTCTTGTTTTCCAATTCAGTGTTTGTCTCGAGCCAGGTGTATGTAATGTTCATATGGTACCCTAGTTAATACCCTTGATGGAATACCCTGGATAAAATACCCTTGATGGAATACCCTACAAATAGATAAAATACCCTTGATGGAATACCCTGGATAAAATACCCTTGATGGAATACCCTGGATAAAATACCCTTGATGGAATACCCTGGATAAAATACCCTTGATGGAATACCCTGGATATAATACCCTTGATGGAATACCCTGGATAAAATACCCTTGATGGAATACCCTGGATAAAATTTAATACTCTGGATGGAATACCCTGGATAAAATACCCTTGATGGAATACCCTGGATAAAATTTAATACTCTGGATGGAATACCGTAAAAGCCCGTAATAACTTTTAAAATAAGGCCCTGGGTGGAAACGTTAGTGAAGGTCCAGAACATGGGCATCAATTTGGGCCTGGGCGCTAATATGGGCCCGGGCGTTATTTCCGATTTTATTATGTATTTTTTTTATAACTGGCACGTTCGGGCTCTCCGCCTTCTCCGCGAACAAAAGAAAACTAAAAGGCAAGAAGCAAAATGACAAGAAAAGCAGAAAAATATGAGAACAATCTCAGAACATACACGTCAGTCTATAATAAATGAGCCCGGCCGGCCCGGCAATCGACCTCAACAGGGGATAGCCGCCTCAGCAACAACAAGAGCAGCTGAGTCCGCAGCAAAGACATAACAGGTGCGTAGAGCCACCTAGCAGCGCTAGGCCCTCAGGCACATCACACTGGATCGGACCAAGGCAAAGCTGATCTGGCACCGGGTTGAGGCCATGACGGCACTGTAAGCCCCTCCGGTCTTGTCGGTGATGAGGGACGCTATCCTCTTGTAATCATGGTAATTGTAGAGAGAGGTGGCAGATTTCCCTGTGCCTCCTGTAGTGGACTGTCCCCCGTAAATTCCGCGATTCCTCGGATTGCAGAATTTCTGCACGTTACCCTGATGCAAACCATTGGTCACAGGAATGGGGTCAGCTTCAACATTAGACAGACACAATATACACACACACACACACACACACACACGCGCGCACACACACACACACACACACACACACACACACACACACACACACACACACACACACACACACACCATGTATTTACCATGTATATGCCCGTCGCAAGAGAAGCACGCAAATCTGTTTTAAATGCACTGGATGTGCACCCACATTTCTCTTAGCAACGATAGCGAACAAGATCTGAATGAGACAGATCAAGGCTTGCGCCAAGTAACTGTCTAATCCACACAACTGGCGAAGCCATGTGAATCGACCACCAATGCACACCTGGTCTACACCACACGGAGTACATCGGCATAAAACGGCCAAGACAGTTACCTATGCACACCCTACACTTGCTGGGGTAACCAGACAGCACGCTGCTTTGATAGAAGCAGACACTAGATGCACTGGTACCTTGAAGTGAAATTGGAGTTACTTTTAACAAGCCTCGGCTACCATGGCTACTGAGTACTGGGAACCCAGAGCCAACAGACACAGACACACACACACACACACACACACACCACACACACACCACACACACACACACACACTGCCTCCCGTTCTGTCTTGCTAGCAGTAGCACCCACTACTGAACACTACAGGAATCTTTGAACGTTTGCGGTACTCCACAGTACCAGTCATGTGCTGTTTACCGCCTCCCCGTTGTTGTATTCTAACGTTAACGTTATTCATTGACTGAGCGTTCTTTGCTTTGTACTACACCCTGCTATCGTGTTAGGCTATTTCCTACAATATTTTACTGTTTCCATTCGCTTCCATGTAATTGGGCGACACCGCCCGTTTTGGTTCTGCGAATTCAAATAAAAATGTACCTACCTACACACCTCAGACCTGCCCATCGCGGAAGCGATGATAGCGAACAGCTAGTACTATAGTATGTTAGACATAGCAACTTGTGCTGGGATTACACCATTCAACAGCTTGCAAGGCTGATGAATTGACCGCCACTAATTTTAGCCTGGTATCCACCACACACACACATACACACATACACACGAACTTTTTGGTGCACAACCATAATTATTATCTCTTGTGTACTGGCCCGGGATTGGATGACTTGCTCACTTAGACTTCTGCCACTATTTCGTTCTCTGGTGAGCAGTTTTGCTGTGTCACCTCTCCTACTGACGACCCAGTCCGGTTATTGTCAATGTTGTGAAAGCAGTAAGCACAGCTGTCATGCATCATTCTGTTCTGAAACAAGCCTCATTTACGGGCAAAAGAAACACAACGCAAATGAAAACCCAGAAAACCAGAAAAGGAAAAAATGTAACCCAAAAGAAGAAGAAAAAACCAATGTGTGATTAACACTATAAATACCGGTATGTTCTGTCATGCATCTAACGTTACTCGCTGTCCACACCAGTCTACACGTAGAAGAACAAATCGAAGATTTTCTGAACCAAACATTTTCGTTCCTTCTAATCCTGGGCTCATAGAGGGTATAAAGGAAAATGACTAAAACAGCAATTCCACATAGGCAAAATAATTGAAGGACATTAAACCAATCGTCCTACCCGTCATCATCACCCCTGCCATTAGTAATTTAAAATAAAAATCTTCCACCGTGCATTGATTTATATAGACAATCGTCATAATTATCATGTGTGCCCCAACTGTTTCAAGTGTTTGTTAGTTGTCACTCTCCTTTTTGAGCTAGTGCTGTGAAAATACAACTTTTATTCTGTCTGATTTGGCCCCGAGATCTTCTGTTGGCATAGTGATCTGACGCTCATCATTCGCTCCCTAATCACAGGACAGTTCTGTGCGTTCGGTTTGCGAATTCAAATAAAGAACACAACAGCAGCAACAGCAGCAACAGCAACAGCAAGAGCAGCAGCAGCATCTCCCTAGTACATGCTGCAGAGGGATCTACATCCACACCTACCTACTGTCAAAGTTGACAAAGAGAAGATAATTGTGAATGCTATCAGCCCAAATAAGGAAGTGTGTACCAGGCACTGCAAAGTTCAAAAGTATTTTGCTGTATCGACATGATGTATTGACATAGTATAGTATTGTATTGTATTGTTGTGACAAGAAAAAAATAAAAGGAAAGGCATCACGAGACGATTAATTTTAAAAACAGCTGCATACGCTACAAAACTAACTAAGCGAAGTAGGATGAAATATTTCGGAAAACCAGCTGTGATCAGTTGTGATCAGCTGTGATCAGCTGTGAGAACACCTTGATGGCAACCTGCAGGTTTCAGTTGGGTCACGCAAAACAGGAATCAAATACGTGGAAAATCAAGATTCTAAACATGCCACACTCTTGCGTTGTAAAACACACACACAAACACACACACACACACAAACACACACACACACACACACACACACACACACACACACCACACAGGGTCTAGATGCAGAGCACTAGAGTACAATGTACTCCCTAAATCGAGAAATTGACCAGGTACCCGTTTGTAACCTTTTTAAAAACCCTTATCCGACCGGCCAGTCAAAAATCGACGACTGTCCGTCGATGACTTCAACAAGCTGTAACTCACTCATTTTTGATCGAATCTGAGCCACATTGTTTCAATAATTATTCACATATTAAAGCAGGACATCACAATCAATTGCAAGTCACATCCCTTGCTTTGCTCGAGACGTTTACAGTCCATTCATAAAAAGATGGGCCCTGGCTCTGGTGAGCTCCCGTATTTGGCGATTTTTCGTGATTTCATCGTACACAGTGCAGTGCTGCAAGATTTGAAATTTGAAAAAGGGTCCAAAAAGGGTACCTGAACTGGGGTTCGAACCGCACAATGCACTGTTGCAGGCGGGGTCAAACGGCCTGAATTTTTATGGTTTTTCCCAATTCAGTGCTTTTGGGGCAAAACCTGGTCGAAATCCTATTCCTGTTATGGCTTGCTTTTTGGACAAAAAAAACTTCAGAAACATAATTGGAAGATGATTCCATAGGGGATTGCAGAAAAAATTCTTAAAAAACTCAAAGTGTGATCCATTTATGGGGGGGGGGGGGGGGGGGGTTCTCTCTACCTACTGTACAAGCAGAAATAGTCTTTTTCGTCCAACGAGCTGTTGGACTAAATTAAATGCCGGACTAATATTGATTTGCCCAGCTTTTCAATACACTCTTATGATCCATGGACGAAATTTACAACCGGACGAACTCCCTTTCTTTGGAGTTGGACGAAATTATATTATTGACCGACGAAATTATATTATTGACCGACGAAATTTTCTGCTTATACAGTACTGAGTGCGTTCGATTATGTCCGCGAATCGATTCATGAATTCATTCATGAATCGATTCGAGCTATTCACAACACCTCATGTGAATAGGGTGAATGGATTCCAAATCGATTCCAGGGCTCATGACATGAAATCGAACGGCGAGATTCCGTTCATAAATAGATTCAAGTGTGTAATCGAACGCAGCCACTGCCTTCTGTAATTTGATAATTTCTGCATTTTCACGGGGGTTTTCCATCTCGAAGTTTCCCAGTACAATGGTCTGACAAATGTACGTCAAGTTAGCGTGACGACTATGAGAACAACAACAACAACAACAACAACAACAACAACAACAACAACAACAACAACAACAACAACATGGCGAGGATAAAGATTTGAAGCAGCATACCTGTGGTGCATTTTATCCAATGACCTTAGTTTTGTGTAGCAACCACCTGATGGTGTCGGTATCGTCCTTCTCATTTAGCAGAGGTATGACCTGCTGCTGGCATTCCCAATGATATGTGTTGATGTACTCAATCTGGGTACGTACAAACAACACACGTACACGCACACACAACATGCACACACAACATGCACACACAACATGCACACACAACATGCACAAAGCACGCACAAAGCACGCACAAAGCACGCACAAAGCACGTACAAAGCACCCCCACAAGCACCACACAACATGCACACAACGTTATACTGGAACATCAAGTACAAGTAGACATACACCCCTGCAGTCGTTAACACAAACTATGACAAAGATCAGGAAAGGGACTAGAAATAGTACTGGTAATCTCGACATGACTACAGTCAATACGACTGATGCCAAGCAAGTTGCCGTCTGCATCAAGCATACAGTAAAGCTTAGTCTGGAGGTTTACAAGTGCCTGCTGCTGCTGCTGTTGTTGCTGCTGCTGCTGCTGCTGTTGTTGCTGCTTTTGTTGTTGCCGCCGCTGCTGCTGTTGCTGCTGCTGCTGTTGCTGTTGTCGCTGCTGCTGCTGCTGCTGTTGCTGTATCCCCAATTTCCTACGATTGCTCAGCTATGGTCCTAGTCATAGTAATGTACAGTTCTCACCTCATCAGCTGTCAGTAGGTACGTCAGCATCAGATCCGTCTCATATGGTACCTGAATCGAGCAGAAAACGCACACAAACGCACGCACACACACGTACGCGCGCAGCAAGCAAATCAAGTCCACAGAAAGTCCACGGACACACTTCTACACAATCTCACCACAGTGTACTAACTATAACCTGCTGTGGGGGGGGGGGGGAGTTTGTGCTAGAAGATGACCGGTACGATTTTGCCAAGCTTCATGGCAAGATGAAATGATTTCTCACGCAACAAAATAAATTATTTTTCTTGCGAATATGGAATCTGATGTTTTCTCTTTTTGTTGCTGTTCTTTTTGCCTGACTCCTTCAGTCAGTTTTTTGTATCTCACCAGTGTCCCCACCCTCCCACCCTTCATGTCTGCCCATCTTCTTTCCTTTTCTTTCTTGGCTGTAGATATGTTGTGCCTGTTTTTATGCTGCCATGTTGCCACTTGGGGTTATACACCCGGTTTTTCCCTCATTCGTGCATCCGTCGGCGCGAGGGTTTTTTCCCCGGCTGGCTCGGTCCAGAGAAATTAATCTGACGGTCCCAAGTGGTGCTTGTCCTGGCTTATTTATGTTAGGTGAATGTACTCATTCTTTCCTCCTGGGGCCTGTCCCCCTGTTGTTGCTCCTAGTTTCTTCTGCATTCCGGTTCACATCTGGCTGCGGCCTACTACCCCCACTCTGTGTGCTCCTGCCTCTGTTGTCTGGGTCCATGTCGTTATGTCGGTGTATGTGGAGCGAGAAAGAGCGGGGTGGTTGTCTTACAAAGAATCAAACTACAGCACGAAGCCATAAGAGGACCTCTTTGTCTCAAATCACCGCACAGCGACCTGGAGCGTTGTGCAATATGCGACTTGGCGAGGTGACAAGAGGTCAGTGAACTAGTGGAGGTGACAAGAGGTCAGTGAACTAGCGGAGTAACTTGTCAACTATACTGCAGCATGTGAACGATAGGTTCCTCTGTCAAAAACTACATTAGTCCGCCGGTCCATCCTGGCTACGCATCCAAATTCATGATGGCAGAATGATAATGAAGAAGTCACTGTCCATTAGAGGGTATAGGTACGTCCGCAACATCTTAGACTGCTACTTACGTCGTTCGTGCAGGCATGGGTCACGCAGGCATGGGTCACGCAGGCATGGGTCACGCAGGCATGGGTCACGCAGGCATGGGTCACGCAGGCATGGGTCACGCAGGCATGGGTCACGCAGGCATGGGTCACTCAGGCATGGGTCACGCAGGCATGGGTCACGCAGGCATGGGTCACGCAGGCATGGGTCACGCAGGCATGGGTCACGCAGGCATGGGTCACGCAGGCATGGGTCACGCAGGCATGGGTCACGCAGGCATCAAGCAGATAAACACACATGGAACTACGGAGGGCATGGAGGGCATGGAGGCTGGTTTACGACTGAGAGCTAGGCATACAATCAGCCATCATGCACGGCACAGCATGTGTGTACTATAGTTCATACAGTCATGCCACCACGTGCCTAGCTGTAGACAAGTATGGTGAACATGGTCAAGATGGTAGGAGGAAGGCACCAATCAGCTGCAAGGGTTGAGCAAGATCAGTAGAAGCTTTCTCCGTGGAATAATAGAACACTTTGCTGCAGACATACTTGCGGTTCTCTTGCAGCAGTTCAAGCAATACGCCTATTGAATGTTATGGTGGTGTTGCCTCGTGGGCGGTACGGAAGTTAGCTGATTCGTTGTGACTTTGGAGTTGCCATTGAACCCAAACTGGAGTTGCCATTGAACCCAAACTGGAGTTGCCATTGAACCCAAACTGCGGTGACTAACTACTAGCATTAAGATTAGCTGGGGGAGTAAGTGTTCTTATTCGGAACACTCATGCCTCACACATGCAGCACATAGCAAGTGCTCTTATTCGGAACACTCATGCCTCACACATGCAGCACATAGCAAGTGCTCTTATTCGGAACAGCGATACTTCACACACACATGCAGCACATAGTCAAGTCATTTTGATAAGCACAACAAATGATGGGTTCGCTCACAGACGCTCTGTGCGCATACGAGTCGTTATACGCTACCCCCCCCCCCCCAATTACCTTATGTTTAATACGTCGTGATAAATGGTGACAGTCCCTTACTTGCACTTTAAGTTCTACTATCACCAGTAGGATTCTATAAGCCGATTCACAAGACAACTTTTTGCGACGCAAAACGCGATTTGCGACAGTTGCGACAAGGAAATGCCTGTCGCAAGCTGTCACGTACAGTTGCAAAATACCTGTCGCAGATATAATGAAGAAAGTTCAACTTTTGCGACATGCGACGTGCGACGTACACAAATGGAGTACAGTTTCTACCCTGGGTGCACGTGCAGTACACGTGTAGAGTATGTTGTTGGTTTGACAGCATGAAACAATATATCTGGTGCTGGTACTGTACTACTAGTATTGGATGATCTAATACCAAGTGTAGAGTAGTACCAGTGCATCTAATACCAAGTGTAGAGTAGTACCAGTGCATCTAATACCAAGTGTAGAGTAGTACCAGTGCATCTAATACCAAGTGTAGAGTAGTACCAGTGCATATTAAAGGATGTCGCAAACACCAACACACATTGTGAACCGCATGTCACTGTCGCAGCTCGTCGCAGGTGCCGCATGTTGCGTCGCAAAAAGTTGTATTGCGAAGCGGCCTTGAGATCCATTTGTTCTGGTTTCTTGTATTTCACTTGAAGAGAAATCATGACAACTGGCTAGGGGAATTCCCTACGTCGTAATGCTTGTGGCGAAGAGCTTAAAGTTGGCAGTCTTTCATGCGATTGAAAGTTTCTTCAAGATTCGTTCGAATGCTTCCTGCAGCCTTCATGTCAGAGGCACATGTGTTTTGGGCAAACGACCGCAACTCAAATCGGCTTCCACACCCTTTCACTGTTCCCGGTATTAAACGGTGTAAGACTAAAACGTTGAAAGAATACGATAAAGTGAAGAGTGAAGAGCAGCGCCAATTTGAATAGTGGCGGGGTGCCCAAAACACATTTGGCTTATAAGTTATAACTGCTAATCTCTATAGAATGTTGTAAGTTACTTCAACACAGTAGTGTGGGTCGCCGAAGAACTGGAGGTCAGCCTCCTAGCCTAGACCCTTCTTATTCTCATGTATTACGGTCTATGCACAGATGAGTTGCCGTGTATACATTAGTATACTGTGCTTGGTGAAATTCTAGGCTGGTCATTCTTCGGTGCCCAACACTACTGTGCATGTCATGTCGAGAGTATAACCAGCAGTGCGCCTACCCAGTACCGGTAAGTTTAATACTAGGTTCTTGGGCTGGGGGATGGCCCTGCACCAAAACCCGCCCGACACATACTACTCCTGTATCAGACTAGGAGTAATGTGCAGTACCGTACTACAGTCAACCCCTGCGAATAACGATCGTCGTCGATTGTGCATGAGAAAACTCAGAAAAGCATCATTAGCCAGCCATTCGTCGTGAGGTTGACAATAGGCAGTCAACTTGTCACTGGGTTGGAAGATTGTGTCGCTACTAGCAAGTTATTGTTATACACAAGGTGGTTTCTCACGAGGTTGACCGTACATGTACATGTACATGCATACAGTAGAGCCTGTCAAGGCAACCACTCCGATAAGGCGACCACCTGTTAAAGAAGGCCACTGCAACCAGGACCAAGGGATGCTATTTCCAGTCAAGTGACCCTGGATAAGGAGACCAGGTTTTGGAGGTCCGTTGAGTTGTCGTCTTAGACAGTTTGACTGTAGTTAGTATTTCACATACAGGTAAGTAGCTACTACTGTATGAGACTACGGGTACTGTTCATCAGCATAGTACTAATTTATAGTAAAGAAAAAGGACCAAGGAACTGCAAGTTATGCTATAATGTCCACTAACACCACCAGTTACTAAACAATCAGCTCATGCGATAACATTGCACGACACTGACCGAAGTTAAAGCGTAACTTGTAGTTCCTTGATCCTTTTTCTTTTCTATAAATTAATCCTTGGCTCTCCATCCGAGTCCATCACATTACTACCTCCCTATACTATGCACTACCGACGGGGCACACAGTCTAACGGTATAACGAGAAAGAATCCATTGTTAACGCAAGAAACGTTACACGTCTGTTATTCCCTCTCTCTCTCCTCTGCACTGGAGAAATAATTATAAGACTGGTGTGTGATGGCAGGGTCGTTAAAACGTGTGCCCGTTAAGGGAGCATCTCATAAGTTCGCATTTTGTTTCTAAACGTAACGCATTTCGAAACGGGGGTAGGGGGGTAGCGCCCTTTTCGGATAGAAAAATGACAGTTCGCACATTTTCTGGATGTGTACAGTGCTGTGCATGTGCTAGACTGCTCCAGACAGCAGGGTACGGCCTACGCCGGTGTGCAGCATGCTACGGCCTACGCGGTGTGTTTTAGGTGTAGATCTAACACTACAAAACACGCATGCAGGCTACTCAGAGGTGTCAAATGTCACACCAGCCTGATCAAACCCTGTAGACCTACCTGGCCAGCTTTTACAGCAGTACAGTCGTTGTGGAGGAACTCTGTTTATGTGCGTGTACATGTCATTGATTGAACTAAGTATGTAACTTACTTACTTGTACTCAGTAGATGCGGTACTACTGTATGCCATTCACTTAGACACTAGCAAAACATTCATGTCCATGTCCATGTCCATGTACATGATTGTGCATACCATGGCATGGACATGTACAGTACAGTAGATCTACACTGAAAATGTGCGATAAGACTTTCAAATAGTGGGGGAGGTAGGGGGGTAAAGTCTATTCGAAATGCGTTACGTTTACAAAAAAAGTGCGAACTTATGAGATGCTCCCTAAGTGGGAAATTTTGTAAATGGTTAAACTTTCGGCTCATCAGACTTTCAACAGTGACAGTAGTTATCACATGTGTTTCCCTTACCAGTGTCATAGGCCTCTTGTACGGGCAAAGCAAATGTGCTTACATAATAATATTATTGAGATTTTGTTGAGATTTTGTGTCATAATATTATTATGATACAAAATCTCAATACAAAAAATCAACAAAACGCCAAGAATCTGAAGAAAAAGACTCAATCCAATTCTGTGTTGCCATAACCGGAACTGAAACCCAACACAAATCTGTATTTCCCTTACCAGTGTCATAGGCCTCAGAGTCAGGTAGTCTCGGTCATTGAACATGAACTGCAGGGTGACAATGAGAAACACACATCAGCGTGCCCCAACCGCAAACACACACACGTACATATACATACACACATACACACGCGCGCAAGCGCGCACACGCGCGCGCACACACACACACACGTACACACATATGCACACACACACACATGCGTCAATAACAACACGTACATACCCTGAAAGTAGCACAGTGATACGAATGCCATGATGCAAAATGGCGTTAGCTATCCGTCTTTCTTTAAGTTGACCACAGCAATCGTGAAGGTTTCATCAATCATTTTCTTGAGACAATTCACTTCAGGCTGTTGACAAGAAAAGCAGGGATAAGATACTCAAGCCAGTGGAGTGATGAGTGCTGCTGCACTTTTCTATACTGTCATGCCCTGCCACCTGCCCTGCCATGCCCTGCCACCTGCCCTGCCATGCCCCGCCACCCTGTCGACACACATCCCTTCCAGTCCTGGTTGACGGTAGATAAAAGAAGCCACGGGTAGGGAAGTGGGGACATGGGTCAGGGAAGTGGAGACACGGGTAAGGGAAGTGGGGACATGGGTCAGGGAAGTGGGGACACGGGTAAGTGAAGTGGGGACACGGGTAAGGGAAGTGGGGACACGGGTAAGGGAAGTGGGGACACGGGTAAGGGAAGTGGGGACACGGGTTAGGCAAGTGGGGACACGGGTAAGGGAAGTGGGGACACGGGTAAGGGAAGTGGGGACACGGGTTAGGGAAGTGGGGACATGGGTGAGGGAGTATCATACCCTGGTATCTTTCTTAACGACAACACAGACATTCTCGATGCGTATGCCGAATGATTCAGCCTCGTAGTAGCCTGGTTCTGTGAGACACAACGGAGAAAGAACACACACACACACACACATACACACACACGGATGCACACGGACACACACACATGCACACGCACAGAAATGATAGCCATGATCAGCACTAGAGTGCTGCTTGCAGACATACCGGTGCCCACTGTCAGCAAACACAGTTCTATCACACTGCAAGCCATGCAGTGACCCAGGCAGTTCTATCACACTGCAAGCCATGCAGTGACCCAGACAGTTCTATCACACTCTAAGCCATGTAGTGACCCAGACAGTTCTACCACACTCTATTAAAGCCATGCAGTGACCCAGAAAGTTCTATCACACTCTAAGCCATGCAGTGACCCAGACAGTTCTATCACACACTCTAAGCCATGCAGTGAGTCCCAATGACCCAGGCACTCAAGAATGCAATCGAAAATCCACAACACTACATGCCAACAAGGACAAGATGTACGGTGTGATGAACAAAATACATCTACGCTGTACGTTGTGATTTCACTTACCATCGGTGACAAGCATACCGGCTTGAAGACCGGCATCTTTAGTGGCACGGGGACTTATTGCTTGTGGACCTGATGAACACACACACACACACACACACACACACACACACACACACACACACACACACACACACACACACACACACACACATGTGTGCACACATACGCACACACACACACGCACGCACACACACACACACACACACACACACACACACACACACACACACACACACAAAACACACACACACACGTGTGCGCACATACGCACACACACACACACACACACACACACACACACACACACACACACACACACACACACACACACACACACACACACACACCACACACACACACATACACACGCACGCATCACATACACACGCACGCATCACATACACACCATCACATACACACCATCACATACACACCATCACATACACACCATCACATACACACCATCACATACACACCATCACACACACACACACACACACACACACACACACGTCACATACACACCATCACATACGAGCACAGATCAAGACAATCAGCACATTTTGCCAAGTGTACATGATGTGATTGTGCTACAACTTCCAGTACAAGTAGAGTGACTATTGAAGAGTGGAGTCCACAGTACTATATGCCTCCCCCCATTACTTTCACCTACATGTGCAACCAACCAAACAAAGTGAACTCGCCTAAGCCAACCACACACTGGACCCTTAAGCTTCATATAAAGGTGGTGCCCTGATCCACTGCGTATGAAACTTCTTGGTCGCGGTTCAACTGGCTATCTAGGGCAGTGGTCGCCTCATCAAAGCGGTCACCTTGACAGGTGCTACAGTCCATTTCAAAACTATAGACGCGTACCTAGGCAAAAACCGTTATGCCAGCATCTATACCACATAAAATCTGTGATCACTTTGTGCATAAATTTTTCAAATTTGGGCGTCTGTTATCCAATGGTTTAGAAACTATATGAGAGTAATTGTGGAGCGGACCTGAGCAATATTCCGAAAACTATTCTCAAAAAGTTCCAGCCAAATTTGAAATATTTCAAAAACACTACGCGTCTATAGTTTTGAAATGGACTGTAGTGTACAGGAAAAATTGTCAAGGCGACCAACTGTCCTAGAGGACCGCTATTTCTTACTTTATTAGTATTAGTATTTTATTTAAAACTCGGGTATTGAGCCAATAATAAAAGTAGAAAGGAAAAGGACATATGGAAACGAGTAAAGAGTAACTCTCCACCACTGTAACTAGGTACTATATACAGTCAGAAAGTGCAATAACTAGGCACAAAACTGACAGAGTACTGAGACATTCGACGTCCTGACACCTAGCTTCAACACATTTCCGTAGCGCTAACCGACAGCCTTCCAACTTGGAAGGTTCAAGGTTATGGAAAGACCAAAGAGGGGAAGGCAAGCGCAACGAAAACGAGCACAAGCTACAGTCCCAACGGAACAAAGAATGTCGATTGTCACTGGACGATGACGAGACCAGTAGGCGATTTGACAAAGCGGTCTAACTACAATTCGAAGCAGCAAAGCAGCACACCACCCAACTTGGGTGGGTACTCTGTCAGTTTTGTGCCTAGTTGTTGCACTTTCTGACTGTATATAGTATCTAGTATTTTATCAGTATTATTTATTCACAATCACGTGACACTAGCCTATGAAGAGGTGGTGTGGGCGATTGCCAGCCATGGCGGTAATACCACAAGGACCAAGACATGTTATTCCCAATCAAAATGACCTTGGACAAGGAGACCACCTGTACACGGGGACCAATTTTTACGATCTCTTGAGCGGCCGGCTTAACCAGGCTTCACTGATCAGGTTCTCCGATTCAAAACAAATTGCACAGTTTGGCAGATTTCTGCATTGATTTCTATACTCAAAAGTCGCCTGAAAAGCCCGCGTCCCATATCACTGCAACGTGGCAAACAAATATTTAGCCATCACAAGAGCTCCTTGGAGAAACAGTTTTCTTCTTTCGAGAACACAGCAGAAGTATTTTCGTTGCGGTCTTCAAATCTTTCTTTGCTACGTCGTAGCCCTTTGACTGTTGCCGAGGAGGTGACTATTGGTCACAGTCCGAACACACAGTCCGCAAGTCATTTCAAGACTTGCCAAAGTTCAAAACAGGACTGATTCCCTTTGCTGCACGAGGTGGCAAAGTTTTTCTTGCACCCCCCCCCCCCCCCAATGGTTTATATTGAAGATCTTGTGCCCTTCAGTACACATCTCCTTGACCTGCATAAGTCTGCAGAGATGCTGACCTGGCATGCTGGCATGCCAAGTGATGAAATTTGGGTGAAATTCAGGGGGTGACCAAGGTGGTGACCAATGTGGTGGTACTTTCGAATTCGGTTGCCAAATTCTGAATGCATCCACCACCAAAGCCCCTCAAAACACAGTGCCACTAGGCTTCTTTACTGCCAAGGATCTTGCAGACAATCTCGAAACTGCACTTGGCCGCTACAGACCACAGGTCGAGACTTTGCTGCGCACAGCATGGGAAGGGAGAGTTATCAGACTAGTCTTGTCTGGGGATTACGAGTTCCTTACGGCAATTTATGGCCTTTCAGGCGCCAGTGGGGTGCGTCCTTGCTTGCTTGCTACTGCGAAAAGAAGGCCATGTAAGTGGAGAGAGAACAACGCACTCTCGTCAGCAATCGCAGCCTCGACACACTCTCGAGAGATTTCACTTCCTCCACATCTTCTGGTGCAGTCTTACACAACGCAAAGCACCACAACAATGTCATCAGGCATTGTATTTTGCCCATTACATTGGAGCAAGTGTGTATTCCAGTTCTGCATCTGGATTTTGGCATATTTCCATACCTTTACGATACCTTCTGCACTGAGCTACACGCCATAGATCTAGATCTAGTAAAGTGTCCAGGCCTAGAAATGACCGAAAGAGACCAAAGCACCTTCCTGTCACTAGTGGTGGCTCGAAATCTAGTGGAAGAAAAAACCCTACTCTCGCCAAAGCTCAACAAGAGCACCAAGCCATTGTACAGCAGCTGCAGTATGCTATACTGTATGCTCAAAAGCATGGTCTGCCTGTACAGTCAGTACAGCTATTGACGGGTGCATTGCAGGTGCAGTGGAAGGAAAAAACAAACGGCTCTAGAAGAGTCAGGAAATGACCTTCAAACATTTTCAACAGAGTTTGAAAGCTACTTGAAAAGAATGGCAAGGTTGCTGGTCCCTGCTTTTCTTCTCTTGAGCAGGTGTTGCAAAAATACAACATCAAAAGGCAAGCCTACCATTCCGGTGCCTTTGTGGGCAACCACATCCACCGTGCTCTTGAAGCCAAGGTGGTCAAGGAGTTGATGTCTGCTCCAGTGCAGGTTGTAAACAGCCGCAGTCTTCAACCGTCAACACCAGCAGCTGAAGTTGAGCTTGCAAAATATTGCACAGACAGCTAAAACCCTGCAGGACAGGTACCATCGTCTGCATTCTGGGTACGCAGCATGCAGAGCGATCTTCTCCACCAGAACCCTCCTTTCCAACAGCACAAAGGGCACATTGGTCGACAACATTAGTACTTTCCTTGTCACTTGTCGTCAGGAAAAAGTCGCCAGGAAGTTGGGCAATTTAACACCTAAGTTACACCTTCTCGAGGAGCATGTAGTGCCCTGTATGGATCACTTCGGCATGGGCCTGTCCCTTCTTGGTGAGCAGGGCATGGAGTCCATCCACGCAGAGATCAACAATTTGGAGAGAAAATTCCTTGCGATACCATCTCCTTCGGATCGTCTTTGAACGTGCGTAGAGCAGCACTTCCTCGCAACGTTGCCACAAAACGCAGCTCTTAGACCAAAGGCTGTGCCAAGAAAACGGAAGGCAGCTTTTACCGATGACTAAACTCTTCCACAGTAAACTTCTGTCAAGGTTTGGTACCGGTATTGGGACACAACGCATTTCATGTCACCTGAATCTCTGTCAGCACTATCAGCACCTTCCTCACCTGCACCGCGGCCGGCTACGCCTCCTGTCCTGGAGGACTTCTCCGATGTTGTTCCCTTGGTGGACATCTATTGTTACAACGACCTCGCGTAAGCTGCATTTTTCTCTTGCATTTGTAATTTTGTCTGTCATGACTGGTGGATGGGTGGCGTACTAGGTTGGTGCTGTTCTAAGAATCAAGATCCAAAGGGACAATCACAGGTCGAACAGCTCGCCAGCCGGGGTCCTCTGCAAAATCTGTTGCTTGCAGGTTCCGATTGATTGGTGCACAGTTTTGCGGGGCTCCCGACTGGTGTTAACCCTCCTGGCCTACTCGTCATGCGTTCAACAGTTGTGGCCCCACTTCTTTTCTGTTTTATTGTCGCCTGTTTATGTTGCTCCACATTTCATTTCTCCTGTCTTTCTCTCTTCTTCTCCGGTCTGTCTTCAAGTATACACGTCACTTTTGCTTCCATCCACAGGAGTGGATGCCCTTTTTTGGCGGGGGATAGGGGTTGTACATGTGGCTGCGCTTGTGTCTCTTCGTTGTACATGCGGTTGCACGTGTAGCTCTTTGTCGTACATGCTGCTGCTTTTGTGTTTCTTTGTTGTACATGCTGCTGAGTCGTGGTACATGCTGCTGCGCTGTTTTTGACTCGTGCGTACATGCGGCTGCACCGTCTTCTGTCCCCGTTGTGTACACACTTGCTCGTCTTGTCCCCGTTGTACGCCTTCACCATAATATATTCTGTTGTCTCAGTGTCAGCCGTCAGTCGTTCGTTGTCAGTCGTTAGTTGTTAGTTCTGAGTTCTCCAGTCGCCTCTTGAAGTAAAGTATAAGAAAAGCTCTCTCTCTCAATTTGACTAGTCCTTTGATGTGTGGCGTGGCGAGGGTAACGTAGAAGAGGCAGCTCGCTTCCAACCCGAGACGACACCAGCACTGAGTAACCATGGAGAATCCAGCACTGAGCAGTCATGGAGAATCCAGCACTGAGCAGCCATGGAGAATCCAGCATTGAGCAGCCATGGAGACAGTATACATAGTTTTCTCTCACCTTCGTGCACGTTGAGGTATGCACCAACGCCATGACCTGTTCCATGGTTAAAGTCCAGACCAACCTCCCAGAGAGCTGTTCTTGCCAGCGTGTCCAACAAAGCACCTGAACCGACAAGAGCAATACGAGCACACACACACACACACACACACACACACACACACACACACACACACACACACACACACACACACACACACATGCACACATACGCACGCACGCACACATACGCACGCACAATCGCACATACAAATATACATAGAGGCACTCAAGCAGACATCATACGGTAATATGCTTCGCATTACACGCAAACATGCACACACCCATTGGTACACACAGACATACACATTTCAACACTAAAATAATACCAACAAAAAAAACAAGATACAGTCAAACCTCGTTAGGACGAACTTCAAGGGACAGAACAAATTTTTTTGTCTTACCGGGAGTTCTTCTTATCCAGACCTGACAAAAAAAATGTATATGCATATCATACGGATTGTATTTATGTGAAGGTGCATGCTGTAGAATGTAAAACATTTTTTTTATAACATATTAAACCCAGCAACAGGTAAGTACAATGTGCAATGAATTCATGACAGCAAGTCCTCCACCTTGTAACATGTTTTGCCACTACAAGAGGCCTAGCCTATCGGGAAAAAAACTACAGCCAATGCACCCACGGGGACCGAAAGTTCGTACTACACGCTGATTTTGTTCAAATTACGCTTGAAATTAGTTCGTCTTCACGAAAGTTCGCTGTACAGAGTTCGTCGTAAACGAATCATTTTGACTGGATATGATGCCTGGCCAACCATAGGATTGGCCCAAGTTCGTACTAAAGGAAAGTTCGCCTTATCAGTGTTCGTCCTAATGAGGTTTGACTGTATACAATACATGTACATTCAATATTGTGACCACGCAGTACATATTCCACACGCACGCAGCACCCCCACACCTGAATGTGTGTAACAGTTTACTAGTAGCAAACTGACCGCTAACAAGTATGAACTGCAAAATACAGTCATGATGTAAACGTATGTCTGTATCGGTGTGTACCTCGGCATTTTTCCGGAAAGGTGGTGCTCGCCAATTTGATGTGACCTTTCAATACACGGGTATAGCATTCCTGAACAACAACAACAACAACAACAACAACAACAACAACAACAACAACAACAACAGCAGCAGCAGCAGCAGCAACAGCAGCAACAGCAGCAGCAGCAGCAACAGCAGCAACAGCAGCAGCAGCAGCAACAGCAGTAGTAACAGCAGCGGCAGCAACAGCAGAAATAGCAACATTCAAGAAAAACACACTGTGAGCCTACACTACAACTTGTAGGGCTGAAACGATCATTCAATAACTCCTAACGATCAACCAATATCATTAACGATCGATATATTGGTTTTATCGATTTTCTCGGCCCTACTCGTGTACCTCAAACACCAGATAAGGCCACAACAAAAAGATTTCGTGTTTCCGGTCGGCCGACCGGGTCCGTTTTTTCAAAAATTATGGAATTTTTTTGGTTTACGACAAGTACAAAAAAACAAAGAAAAACAAGCAAAAACACTGAAAGCATTGTGTTGCTTTGCTCGAACCGAAATAAAAGTTTGACTGAATGCAGAGACGAAAATTCTAACTTGTCATCTCCATTTCTGCCCTGCCCTCGACTCTGGCTCCTTTGGGAGTGATGTGGCCTATTGCCAGTATTGGCAGCCGAGCTTTAGTAGCTTTAGTAGCTAGTAGTACTATATGTAGTGTGCGTGCAATTTTGTGCAGGCATGTTTTGTGTCAATGTCAGTACTATGCGTCTATTGATGCTGACCCATTGGTATTGCATACAATTCTCAGAAATCTCTGAACTATGCAATACATCTACTGCGTCCCGCGGTGGTATTCTACTCCATATTCCATGTGTAAATATGTATATATTGTGTATCACCAGGGTCTGATCCAAACGTTCTCAATTTGGCTCATGTCTATGAATACAGCAGGGAAATAAACTTTCAAACCAAAAAATAATAATTTTCCGACCGACCGGGCGTATTTTTTCGGGGGGGGGGGGGGGGGTGCCGACCGGAAACACGAAATCTTTTTGTTGTGGCCTAATGAAGAAATTCCACAATGCCTTTGCTACATTAGAAACTTGCCGCATCGCACTGTTGACATGTGGCTTGTTTTCTCAACATGAACTAGAGTATTTCATGTTGTTTCCAGAGTGAAGAATCTTGTCATCACCCTCTGGCAACTGCTTTCATCTCCGACCTCCCCCACAAATGAACCGAAAAGACAAAGCCTTCTCTCCTGATCTCTTTCAAAGCCACAAATCAATTTTATTGCGCTTCAAAGTACATGATTGCACCTGTATTCACTACAGGATGGAGTGCAAGGGCTAGAATACTGTTGCTGATATGCATGCGTAAAAATCATTAGCACTCGTTTCGAACACTAACGATTATCGATTGCACCCTTAACGATCGATATGCGAGTTATCGGTATAATCGTTTCAGCCCTAACTACAAGTACTACATTATAAACCTGACATCACCATCACCAAGAGTACAAACCAGATAGTGCAACTCAGGATGGTTCCTGTGGGAGCGTAATCCGTGCAGTACGTCATTTCCGACGGCATGGTAAGCCACATGTATGGTGAAAAGTTGCATTCCAGTCGCGGTCGTGCAGATCACTAAGTTCGTGCAGATTTCGTTTTTTTATACAGACAGTCTGGTACACAAGCATGGTTGATTGAGCTAAGCCTGTGTCTAGACTGTCCAGTACACAAGCATGGTTGATTGAGCTAAGCCTGTGTCTAGACTGTCCAGTACACAAGCATGGTTGATTGAGCTAAGCCTGTGTCTAGACTGTCCAGTACACAAGCATGGTTGATTGAGCTAAGCCTGTGTCTAGACTGTCCAGTACACAAGCATGGTTGATTGAGCTAAGCCTGTGTCTAGACTGTCCAGTACACAAGGATGGTTGATCGAGCCAACTCTACATCTAGGCTGTTCAGTACACAGAGATGGTTGATTGAGTTAAGTACACAAACCTTCTCATGTGGCGTGGCTTCTCCAAAGTGCATAGTTCTTGTCACATCCGTGGTGCCATCTCTAGTGACACATACACACACACGTGCACACACACACACACACGTGCACACACACACACACACACACACATACACACACACACACGAACACACACACACACAAACACGTGCACACACACACACACGCACACACACACACACACACACACACACACACACACACACAATTGACAAAGGCTGCTGCTATCACAAGTTCGCAAGTCCATGTTCTCGGTGCATCAGCAACCACACCACCCAGACTCATCTACCATCAGTGTACACCTACCGAGTGATGAAGTGGCCGTGGTGCTGTGTCTATTGAACACCCCGTGGAAAGGACAAACCCCAGACACCTCACCGATACCACACCCCTACTATTAGATGCCACCTTACGAGTCATCGAGGCCGTAACAACAGGTAGCCTGAAAGCCGCTACCAACATCAGGCGCAAGACTGCTGCATCCTCAAACTAAAGCCTCTGCATGGTCACTACCTCGTATTGGCAAAGGACACAGTGCTCGTTCATTGCAATTTCTTTTAAGATACTTCCAGCCAGAAGGTGGACATTGCAGGCCTTTTAGTGGCATAGTTATAGGCCTGTATACGTATCTGCATCCATACGTGTAGTGAGTGAGTGAGTGAGTGAGTGGGTGAGTGGGTGAGTGGATGGGTGTAGTGAATGGCTGGCTGGCTGGGTGAGTGAGTGGATGAGTGAGCGAGTGTAGTGAGTGGGTGAGTGGGTGCAGTGAGTGGGTGAGTGGGTGAGTGGATGAGTGAGCGAGTGTAGTGAGTGGGTGAGTGAGTGAGTGGGTGAGTGGGTGGGTGAGCGAGTAGGCGAGTGTAGTGAAAACACTTACTTGTACTGGCCACCGGAATCACAGAGGTACATCTCTTCCTTAGTGATAGGACGACTAGTCTCTGGTGTCACTCTGTACATATTGCATATCATCACCAGCACCACCATCACCATCAGCAGGAACAGCAGCAGAAGAAAAGATGAAAACGATGACAGCAGCAGCGATAGCAGCAGCAGCAACAACAGCAGCAACTGCAGCAGCAGCAGCACCAGCACCAGCAGCACGACAGCACCAGTGGCACAACAGCACCAGTGGCACACAACAGTCTTGAAGAACATACAAGTGCAGTACAACACATTCACGACCTGTGTCAGAATCAGTTAGCCTCAGAAGCTGTGACTAGCAACAGACACATTGCCACTCTCCACTGTGGACACAATCATGCGCTCTCCACTGTGGACACAATCATGCAAGTATGCTGGCACACCATCCCTGCCTAATCCCTACACTATAATCATACCTGTAGTCATTACATCATACGTGTAGGCATTAGTGTTGAAACGAGCGTATCTATAACAAACGAGCGATCAGTTCCACTGACGAGCAAGCTATCGAGCGAGCTAACGAGTTTCATTAATGTGGCAAATATGATTATTTTTTGGAATATTTTTTTCTGAGTTCGAATTTTTTCAGCTGGTTCAAATTACATGAATTATCACCGCCGGCATTTGGGGTTGCTGCTGCTTCACTTCGGACTGCTGTTTGGTGTCGAGATGTCTTTTCAGCGCCATCGTCGATTAGCCTTTGTAAGAATAGACCGTTTTGCAAAGATTGCAAGTAGCCCTGGTCTTCGCTGCATCGCGGGAGAAAACTTCCAAACGACTGAGCGTAACTTTCACTCGAATGGAGAGGTGACCGAAGCATATCCTGCGAGAGGTCAGCAGATGCGGAACAAGACATCAGTAGAGTTCACCAAAGCTGCAACGACTACTGAAACAACTCAAGTGTCGTGCAGGCATACAGTCACCTGTAACTGCGAGTGATTTTCACTTTGAGCGGGACTGGACTCTCGATCGACCAGGGAGTCGTAAAATATTTTACGACTCCCCGGTCGACATGTACTGCCATGTGTACGGAGTACGGTGTACGGTGTTCGTTAGTGCAAACGAGCTGGCCACACAAACGAGCCGAGTTTCTGGCGAGCGAGCTAACGAGTATCCGGTGAGATCGTTTCAACACTAGTAGGCATTACATCATACATGTAGGCATTGGATCATACATTTAGTCATTGCATCATACCTGTAGTCATTACATCATACCTGTAGTCATTACATCATACCTGTAGTCATTACATCATACCTGTAGTCATTACATCATACCTGTAGTCATTACATCATACCTGTAGTCATTACATCATACCTGTAGTGGATGACAGCACCATTAGGACCAGAACCTGAGATTGTCTCAAAGCTAGGGCCCATAAATTTATCAACATTCCTGCAGAAAAGCATGCACGTGCACATACATAGGCGCACAGACAGACAGACATACAGACAGACAGCACTCAATGTAACTACAGAACTGACGGTATGGATAGACACAGCACACTCACAGCACACTCACAGCACGCTCACAGTACGCTCAGTCACAGGCACACCAGAACTACACAGGCTGGTGGCAATAGCACAAGCAGACACAAAGCTTGCTTGGCAAAATGCAGTCATCAGCGAGAAACAAAAATGCAGTCACACTGCCAATGTCCGCGTGAGCAAATCCTGAAATAATTGAACTACTTGAAGTAGTAGCCACATCAGCATGAGAGAACAGAGAGGGAACAATGCCCATGTGTTATACTGGTGCAGAGGTCCTAGACTAGAGTCAAACAGCACATTGTAGTTTCACATCAGTTTGTCATGTGACTAAATTCGTGTAGAAAGTGATCATGGCATGTGTACAGTGGAACCAACATGGCCCACATCATGTGACCCGTAGATGATAGATGCAGGAGTTGAGTGGAGTTGGAACCAACATGGCTGTCCCATATGGTCTTGTGATATATGTCAAACCACTCTATTCTTTAAAGGGGAAGTTAAGGCAAAAATTAAAATTTCACCAGTTGTAGTCTTTGGGGTGCTGAGTCGAATGGTCTTGGTCCGAGAAAGCTGAGACGCTCCCTTCCTACTTGAATCCCAATCGAACTCGCGCACTTCCACCGAAACTGGGTGACTGCGCCCTACTAGATGGGGATTTGTATGCAAAATGTCACTAAAAGCGCCATTTCGTTCTTATAAAAGCACGGATGACCGCGATTGACCCATATGTTGTAGTCTTTTGGACGCTGAGTCGACTGGTTTTGGTCCGAAAAGGCTGCGATGCAGCGTTCCTCCTTAATTCCCAATCGAACATGGTTGAACAAGCGGTCACGTGCTCCTGCGTACACCATTCAGCTGGTCACCGTGCCTGCAGGGTACAACTTACTAGCCTGTGTTGCAAAAGAAGGATCCACGAGCGGGATTCGAACCCAGCACCCCTGTCTTTCCGGGACAGTGCCCTACCGATTAGGCTACCGGGGATCACACACACTCATGGGTCCTTCTTGCTACACTGCTCCCCCGCCCCAACAGGCTGTGTCCTCACGCCGTACCTACTCGCGGGGGGTACGATGGGTCGTGGGTTCGAGCCATTGCCAGGCGCCAATGTTGCAAAAGAAGGATCCACGAGCGGGATTCGAACCCAGCACCCCTGTCTTTCCGGGACAGTGCCCTACCGATTAGGCTACCGGGGATCACACACACTCATGGGTCCTTCTTGCTACACCTGTTTGACCTTTTTTGGGTGCAGTCCTGTCACTCGAGTTGAACCTTGGTGTGAAAGTTGTCGCCTGCTGGCGTGGTGACCAGGTGATTTGGGCACCCAGTAGCACGTGACCACTTGTTCAACCATGTTCGATTGGGAATAAAGGAGGAACGCTGCATCACAGCCTTTTCGGACCAAAACCAGTCGACTCAGCGTCCAAAAGACTACAACGTATGGGCCAATCGCGGTCATCCGTGCTTTTATAAGAACGAAATGGCGCTTTTAGTGACATTTTGCATACAAATCCCCATCTAGTAGGGCGCAGTCACCCAGTTTTGGTGGAAGTGCGCGAGTTCGATTGGGATTCAAGTAGGAAGGGAGCGTCTCAGCTTTCTCGGACCAAGACCATTCGACTCAGCACCCCGAAGACTACAACTGGTGAAATTTTAATTTTTGCCTTAACTTGCCCTTTAACATTGACAAATCATAAGTGCACCACACACACTAACGAGGATACTTTGCACACGTACTGTACATTCGTCCAGGGCACTGGTGGGTATCAACCAAGCAATGAGGAAGATACTGTAGTATTCTTCACTGAACATGCACCAATCGTGTGCATACGTGCATAGATAAGAGAAGAAAAACACTTCGCAATGAGCTCACTTTCTAAACATGAGTAACTGCTCAGCTGCAGAAAGCTCTGTCACGTTCCTATTGGACTTCACCTAGGGAACAGATCAGGACAAAAACACAACATACAAACAGTAAACAAACAGCAGTATGTTATCAAGGATTCATACTTGAGACTATGTAAGGACTGAGTACATACTGATTCAGCAGGTAACACAACCCCCTCCCCCCCCCACACACACCATTGGACCATTGGACGCCCATCGCCGGAGGCGATGATAGCGATGCTACAGCAGAAGCCATAGCAACTTGTGCTGGGATTGCACCATTCAACAGCTTGCAAGGCTGAAGAATTGGCCACCACTATTCAGCCTGGTCTACACCACACAGCTATGAAGTGGCTTTTTCTGGCCAGTAAATCCCTACTTTTTGGTCTTTTTATTTTTTTCCCGCAGACACATCACACCACATACTCCGGCATGCACGGGCTGTTGGTAACCACCCAGGAGAATGAAAGAAAAGTCAGGAAGAGGCTGAGAAAGAGAAGACCATAATCGTCGGGAATCAAACCCGCAACCTATCGATTGGAAATCGCTGCACATACCACTGCACCATATGGGACACACACACACACACACACACACACACACCACACACACACGCACGTACACACACACACACACACACACACACACAGCAGCAGCAGCAGCAGCAGCAGCAGCAGCAGCAGCAGCAGCAGCAATACAAGAATCAGAGCTCAGAGGCACCCATGGCATGTGCATGGATAGGACTAGAAATGATCCTCGGGGCTGGTGGCGTTCCCATCGTAGCATACCATACCCACAATTTAATGAGAGACCCACTGCAGCTCTCTACACTGTTCTTCAGACAGTTTGTGACATTAAAAGTTTCCCTCACAGCCTAACATTACACACATCAAGTCCAGGTGCAGGCACTCACCTCTTTCTCAAGCCAGCAGAAGTACTTACACAGCGCAGCTGAGTCGCGGATCTGAACACACACACACACACACACACACACACACACACACACACACACACACACGAGCAGCAGTTACAGTAGCAAAAGCAGAAACATCAACAATTTACACGAATAAGGTGCACATTCCTGGTAGGTAAATTTCCCAAAACGCAGCATCAGCATCAGCACCATCAGTAGCAGCAGCATCCGCACCACCACCATCAGCATCAGCAGCAGCATCAGCTGGTATACAAATCACTGCATATTTATAGTGGAGGGTAGCCACTGAGTATAGTGGAGGGTAGCCACTGAGCCAGCAGCACTATACAGTGAAACCTGTCCAAGACGACCGCTCATGGGACCTTCAAAACGTGGTCTCTGTTACCAGGTGGTCTGCTTATCCAGGGTCATTTGACTTGACTGGAAATAGCGTCCCTTGGTCCCGGTTTCAGTGGTCTTTTAGGACAGGCGGTTGCCTTGACAGGGTTTACTGTATGAAGTTAGCAGTGGGAAATGTTGCAGCAGTGATCAGCAGTGATCAGCAGTGATCAGCAGTGATCAGCAGTGATCAGCAGTGATCAGCAGTGATCAGCAGTGATCAGCAGTGATCGTGATTTGACACAGGGTCTCAAACAATGTACATGCACCCTCTGTGATACGACATGTCCATAGTCATACAAGTACTATCTCAATTCTTATTGTCTGAGTAGTGAGTAGTGAGTAGTGAGTAGTGCGTAGTGCGTAGTGCGTAGTGAGTAACATAGTGAGTAGTGAGTAGTGAGTAGTGAGTGGAATGAGTGGAGCAGGAACAGTACTGTACGCGTACACTAGCTTCACGGATTCCTTTCAGCTCCACGGTGTTCTTGACGGATTTCATCAGCGGTATAGGACTAGATCCAACCACACTGTTCTTCTGAGTAGCACAACGCACACAACGCACACAAACACACAAACACAGAACCACCAATATACGGAGAGATCAGATTATGTGAGAGCAGAACAAACGGCAAGACGATGGGAAGAGAATAAGAAAAAAGAGATACAGAGAGAACACACGCTACATAGCCCGGCAATAACTATACACATGCATTCACGTACGCACGCATGCACGCACACATGTATAGATGAACATTCTTGAAACAGTTCTACACTGACCTTGGGCACTGTGTTGGCTACATCTTGACTGGACCGGTTGCTGACCTGTACACGTACATGTATGAACACACACGCACAATGGGACAACCCTGTTTGACATACCTTTGCTGACCTACGTACACACGCACACAATGGGACAACCCTGTTTGACATACCTTTGCTGACCTACGTACACACGCACACAATGGGACAACCCTGTTTGACATACCTTTGCTGACCTACGTACACACGCACACAATGGGACAACCCTGTTTGACATACCTTTGCTGACCTACGTACACACGCACACAATGGGACAACCCTGTTTGACATACCTTTGCTGACCTACGTACACACGCACACAATGGGACAACCCTGTTTGACAAACCTTTGCTGACCTACGTACACACGCACACAATGGGACAACCCTGTTTGACATACCTTTGCTGACCTACGTACACAAGCACACAATGGGACAACCCTGTTTGACATACCTTTGCCTACCTACGTACACACGCACACAATGGGACAACCCTGTTTGACATACCTTTGCTGACCTACGTTCACACGCACACAATGGGACAACCCTGTTTGACATACCTTTGCTGACCTACGTGCACACGCACACAATGGGACAACCCTGTTTGACATACCGTATTTCCTCGATTAATGGACCATGCTCGAATAACAGACCATGCTCAAATAGTAGACCCTCCTAGAGGCCTCACGGAAAAATAGTAGACCATGCCCGAATAAGAGACCCGGTCTCTTATTTGAGTTCATCGCTTTGCACATGCGCACTAAGAAAGCACGTGGTGGATCAAAAAAGGACGCGATTTTAGGTTGCCCAACTACAATTTTTGTAGTGGCTAGTGCTTTCTTTCATTAGTTGAGCACGGTCCACTATATTTTCACGGGCACATCGCTGGAAATGGTGGATTTTTAACACGTCATAATAGAACTTCCATATTATGACGTGTTAAAAATCCACCATTTCCAGCGATGTGCCGATGAAAATAATAGTGGACCATGCTCAAATAATGGACCATGCCCAAATAAGAGACCAGGGTCCAACCCTCTTCAAAAAACAAAAGACCGGGTCTATTAATCGAGGAAATACGGTACCTTTGCTGACCTACGTACACACGCACACAATGGGACAACCCTGTTTGACATACCTTTGCTGACCTACGTACACACGCACACAATGGGACAACCCTGTTTGACATACCTTTGCTGACCTACGTACACACGCACACAATGGGACAACCCTGTTTGACATACCTTTGCTGACCTACGTACACACGCACACAATGGGACAACCCTGTTTGACATACCTTTGCTGACCTACGTACACACGCACACAATGGGACAACCCTGTTTGACATACCTTTGCTGACCTACGTACACACGCACACAATGGGACAACCCTGTTTGACATACCTTTGCTGACCTACGTACACACGCACACAATGGGACAACCCTGTTTGACATACCTTTGCTGACCTACGTACACAAGCACACAATGGGACAACCCTGTTTGACATACCTTTGCTGACCTACGTACACACGCACACAATGGGACAACCCTGTTTAACATACCTTTGCTGACCTACGTACACACGCACACAATGGGACAACCCTGTTTAACATACCTTTGCTGACCTACGTACACACGCACACAATGGGACAACCCTGTTTGACATACCTTTGCTGACCTACGTACACACGCACACAATGGGACAACCCTGTTTGACATACCTTTGCTGACCTACGTACACAAGCACACAATGGGACAACCCTGTTTGACATACCTTTGCTGACCTACGTACACACGCACACAATGGGACAACCCTGTTTAACATACCTTTGCTGACCTACGTACACACGCACACAATGGGACAACCCTGTTTAACATACCTTTGCTGACCTACGTACACACGCACACAATGGGACAACCCTGTTTAACATACCTTTGCTGACCTACGTACACACGCACACAATGGGACAACCCTGTTTAACATACCTTTGCTGACCTACGTACACACGCACACAATGGGACAACCCTGTTTGACATACCTTTGCTGACCTACGTACACACGCACACAATGGGACAACCCTGTTTGACATACCTTTGCTGACCTACGTACACAAGCACACAATGGGACAACCCTGTTTGACATACCTTTGCTGACCTACGTACACACGCACACAATGGGACAACCCTGTTTAACATACCTTTGCTGACCTACGTACACACGCACACAATGGGACAACCCTGTTTAACATACCTTTGCTGACCTACGTACACACGCACACAATGGGACAACCCTGTTTAACATACCTTTGCTGACCTACGTACACACGCACACAATGGGACAACCCTGTTTGACATACCTTTGCTGACCTACGTACACAAGCACACAATGGGACAACCCTGTTTGACATACCTTTGCTGACCTACGTACACACGCACACAATGGGACAACCCTGTTTAACATACCTTTGCTGACCTACGTACACACGCACACAATGGGACAACCCTGTTTAACACACCCACGCATACATGTCTGATACACTGTACTGTTACGTCTGTCCCCATGCCACTATACCCTAGATATACCCCAGATATACCCCCAGATATACCCCAGACATACCCCAGACATACCCCAGATATACCCCAGATATACCCCAGACATACCATAGGCCTATCTGCCTCAAGATACTGTTAGCCAAGGGGTTTCTAGTTGAGGCCTTTCTTTTCAACAATACTGTCGGAGAGAAGCGTGTATTTTACTGCTCAGCACTCAGCTCACCAAGATGCGACAGCTTGGGTTGGCATCCACATACGCTTTCAAATACACATGAAATTGACCGTAGTCCTTCACATCCAACTCTGACTTTGTCTCCTCGCTAAGATGGCTCCGCGCCGCCGGTGTGAGCTGAGACTCATCCACAAACAGCCTGAGCACACAGCAACCCAACAAACACAACCAACCAACTTGTATTAAGAGTACAACACATCCATCATTGGTTAGTATTGGTTACACACACCTAGAGTTCACAAAGATGGCACTGTTCATTGGTAAAGCTGGGTTGTGCCCCTTGATATTTGCCACTTAATATGCACCTCAGAGGTTGGCATGTGCCTTAGAACTTTGCATGCACACCAGGACTTTACATATGCCTCAGGACTGCACGTGCTATGGGCTTTCGCATGCGCCTCATGACTTCACATACGCCTCAGAGCTTCACATGCACCTCAGAGCTTCACATGCGCCTCAGAGCTTCACATGCACCTCAGAGCTTCACATGCGCCTCAGAGCTTCACATGCGCCTCAGAGCTTCACATGCGCCTCAGAGCTTCACATGCGCCTCAGAGCTTCACATGCGCCTCAGAGCTTCACATGCGCCCAGGAGTTCACATGTGGCTCAGGAGTTCATATGTGGTTCAGGAGTTCATATGTGGCTCAGGAGTTCATATGTGGTTCAGGAGTTAGCAGTGGATATACTTTCATGGTAAGTGAAACCTGACCCTGTGAAGAGACTAGCCTGGTCTGGGCTGACCATGCATCCCTGGTGTTACCAACACTGGGCTGTGGAGTGAACGTATTCCATTTGCTTTTTATCTTAGTTTACATGGGAAGCTCAACAGTGCAGCTGCGCAAAATATGAGGGCCTATTTTAGAGGCCTATGGAGGGAGAGGTGGTGCATTACGAGCATTGGGATGAGTTGTGAACACAGCTCTTCAGACAATCAACATGTCCGTGTCCACTTTTGCCACCACTGTATGTTCACAACTTCCTGTACTAGACTACTAGTAAGCTAGAATTGAGTGCATTGGGGAAACACATTGCAATGGTACGGGGACAAATAGCAGTGATGCTGTGTGATGCTATGTGATACTGTGTGATGCTGTGCGATGCTGTGTGATGCTGTGTGATACTGTGTGATGCTGCTTGCCTATCAAGTTTCACAGTCAGTAGGACGGTACAGCAATGCAACAGGAGATGGGTTGACTCACACGAGCTTGTCACGGGACACAAATGCGTAGGAAAAGAAGACCGGGTTGTATTCGATATCTGAGCCACGCAAGTTGAACAGCCCTGCGCCAAAACAACAATACACAAGGCAATTATTACTTCAACAGCCCTGCACCACCACCTGCAGCAAACAATCAACAGCGGCAGTTGCGGTCCTCTCTCTCTCTCTCTCTCTCTCTCTCTCTCTCTCTCTCTCTCTCTCTCTCTCTCTCTCTCTCTCTCTCTCTCTCTCTCTCTGTCTCTCTGTCTCTCTGTCTCTCTGTCTCTCTGTCTCTCTGTCTCTCTGTCTTCGTGTCTCTCTGTCTTCGTGTCTCTCTGTCTCTCTGTCTCTCTCTGTCTCTCTGTCTCTCTCTCTGTCTCTCTCTCTCTCTCTCTCTCTCTCTCTCTCTCTCTCTCTCTCTCTCTCTCTCTCTCTCTCTCTCTCTCTCTCTCTCTCTCTCTTTGTGTGTCTCTCTCCCTCTCTGTCTCTCTCTCTGTCGCTGTCTGTCTGTCTGTCTGTGTGTGTGTGTGTGTGTGTGTGTGTGTGTGTGTCTCTCTCTCTCTCTCTCTCTCTCTCTCTCTCTCTCTCTCTCTCTCTCTCTCTCTCTCTCTCTCTCTCTCTCTCTCTCTCTCTCTCTCTCTCTCTCTCTCTCTCTCTCTCTCTCTCTCTCTCTCTCTGTGTCTCTCTGTGTCTCTCTCTGTGTCTCTCTCTGTATGTCTGTCTGTCTGTCTGTCTGTCTGTCTCTCTCTCTCCTGCCATACTGATATCCTAACTGCACACTGGTGTAGAGCAGCAGTATGGCACCGAGCTCTTACACGCTATGTCATCCAGTGCGGTCACAGCCAGTGCATCACACTGCATGTCAATCAGCTTCTCACGAACAGCAGACACCTTCTTGTGGCAGACTTCGCCTGAACAATGCGCCATAGGCACAAGCAAAACACAAAAAAACAAAAAAACAAAAAAACAAAAAAACATGTACACTCTCAAAACCGAGTTTAGGAAGAACAACAATACTAGTACTTGGTAAGTAAGAGATGGGACGGGCACACACTTGAATGCTTGCTGACATGACTAACTAGGAAGCACACCGTCCAACTGCAGGTTCCATTTGATGCAGAGCAAAACCCTTTTTTCTGACACTGGCTATAAAGGGTGATGCTACATCCAGTGTGGAGTAACAGCACTAGCAAGTGCGGTAGTACCTGTAACAGCAATGATCAGTAACAGCAATGACCAGTACATGCATAACAAGTACATGTACGTAATCAAGTAGCGTGCTCCACTGTCCGAAGAGTGCTCAATACCCATATAGGGAAGAGGCTTCTACACAAGAGAGAGAGAGGGGAGTTTGTGTTGCAACTCTGAGTTTCACGAATTACTACTGATGATCGTAGTAATACGTGAAACTCAGAGTTGCGACACAGCTTCCAATCTGTCTTGTGTAACAAGTACATTGTAAATGACAAGCACTGCATTACCTGTATAACAAACTTCCAGGGGCACAATAGGCTGACATTCCAGTGCTGGACGGTCTTTACCCCAAACTGTATTCACCGGGTTCACGTCACAGCAGACAACTTCATGGCCAGAATCCTGGACGCCCTGCACAAACCGACAGCACATGGGAGAGCAGAGCGTATTCGTACACATGTGCACAATGGCACACACATATGCACAATAATACACACATGCACATGAGCACAATAACACACAAACACATGCACTTATGCACAGTACCAATAACACACATGCAAGACTGCATAGAGCGCCATGCATGCATGGCGCTCTGCCAGCGAAGGACAGCAAAGGACAGCAAAGAACAGCGAAGGATAGCAAAGAACAGCGAAGGACAGCAAAGAACAGCGAAGGACAGTCAACAGGTGAAAGAAAACTGAACAGTTCAACACTGTACCATTATCAACCCTTACCTTGACAAGGTCATTGTAGGCATCTGGAGACAGCAAATCAGAAGAGAGAGAGAGAGAGAGAGAGAGAGAGAGAGAGAGAGAGAGCACTTCATTGAGACTTGAAAGTTCATTTTCTTGCTAGGACAGTACAGAAACATGTACTGTAAGTCTACAAATTTTCGGCCCATTCAAATTTCGGCCTCCCAGGGCTAAAACACATTTCGGCCCATTCAAATTTCGGCCTCCCAGGGCTAAAACACATTTCGGCCCATTCAAATTTCGGCCTCCCAGGGCTAAAACCCATTTCGGCCGCAACAAATTTTCAGCCTGTACTGCTGCTGCCTGTATACACTGTCACACTGAACCTTGCAAATTTCGGCCAAACATGACCAGGCCGAAAATAGCCGAAAATAAATATGCGCCGAATATTCGTTGACTTACAGTAGTCAGATTTCAAAGTGTCTACAGCATAAGTACATGTATACCATATACATTACTGTGAGAGTGACCCAGAACATCAACCCGTTGTGCTTTTCTTTGGAGTACCTTTTACACATATTGCATATCATGCAGGCAGTCCGTAATCAGTTCTCCTCTGAGTGGCAACGAGCTCCATGCAAGAATAGTAGACCATCACTGAAGACCCCAGTAGCAGTACACTGAGCTCCTTACATCACTGAAGACCCCAGTAGCAGTACACTGAGCTCCTTACATCACTGAAGACCCCAGTAGCAGTACACTGAGCTCCTTACATCACTGAAGACCCCAGTAGTAGTACACTGAGCTCCTTACATCACTGAAGACCCCAGTAGCAGTACACTGAGCTCCTTACATCACTGAAGACCCCAGTAGTAGTACACTGAGCTCCTTACATCACTGAAGACCCCAGTAGTAGTACACTGAGCTCCTTACATCACTGAAGACCCCAGTAGTAGTACACTGAGCTCCTTACATCACTGAAGACCCCAGTAGTAGTACACTGAGCTCCTTACATCACTGAAGACCCCAGTAGCAGTACACTGAGCTCCTTACATCACTGAAGACCCCAGTAGTAGTACACTGAGCTCCTTACATCACTGAAGACCCCAGTAGTAGTACACTGAGCTCCTTACATCACTGAAGACCCCAGTAGCAGTACACTGAGCTCCTTACATCACTGAAGACCCCAGTAGTAGTACACTGAGCTCCTTACATCACTGAAGACCCCAGTAGTAGTACACTGAGCTCCTTACATCACTGAAGACCCCAGTAGCAGTACACTGAGCTCCTTACATCACTGAAGACCCCAGTAGCAGTACACTGAGCTCCTTACATCACTGAAGACCCCAGTAGCAGTACACTGAGCTCCTTACATCACTGAAGACCCCAGTAGTAGTACACTGAGCTCCTTACATCACTGAAGACCCCAGTAGTAGTACACTGAGCTCCTTACATCACTGAAGACCCCAGTAGTAGTACACTGAGCTCCTTACATCACTGAAGACCCCAGTAGTAGTACACTGAGCTCCTTACATCACTGAAGACCCCAGTAGTAGTACACTGAGCTCCTTACATCACTGAAGACCCCAGTAGTAGTACACTGAGCTCCTTACATCACTGAAGACCCCAGTAGTAGTACACTGAGCTCCTTACATCACTGAAGACCCCAGTAGTAGTACACTGAGCTCCTTACATCACTGAAGACCCCAGTAGTAGTACACTGAGCTCCTTACATCACTGAAGACCCCAGTAGTAGTACACTGAGCTCCTTACATCACTGAAGACCCCAGTAGTAGTACACTGAGCTCCTTACATCACTGAAGACCCCAGTAGTAGTACACTGAGCTCCTTACATCACTGAAGACCCCAGTAGTAGTACACTGAGCTCCTTACATCACTGAAGACCCCAGTAGTAGTACACTGAGCTCCTTACATCACTGAAGACCCCAGTAGTAGTACACTGAGCTCCTTACATCACTGAAGACCCCAGTAGTAGTACACTGAGCTCCTTACATCACTGAAGACCCCAGTAGTAGTACACTGAGCTCCTTACATCACTGAAGACCCCAGTAGTAGTACACTGAGCTCCTTACATCACTGAAGACCCCAGTAGTAGTACACTGAGCTCCTTACATCACTGAAGACCCCAGTAGTAGTACACTGAGCTCCTTACATCACTGAAGACCCCAGTAGTAGTACACTGAGCTCCTTACATCACTGAAGACCCCAGTAGTAGTACACTGAGCTCCTTACATCACTGAAGACCCCAGTAGTAGTACACTGAGCTCCTTACATCACTGAAGACCCCAGTAGTAGTACACTGAGCTCCTTACATCACTGAAGACCCCAGTAGTAGTACACTGAGCTCCTTACATCACTGAAGACCCCAGTAGTAGTACACTGAGCTCCTTACATCACTGAAGACCCCAGTAGTAGTACACTGAGCTCCTTACATCACTGAAGACCCCAGTAGTAGTACACTGAGCTCCTTACATCACTGAAGACCCCAGTAGTAGTACACTGAGCTCCTTACATCACTGAAGACCCCAGTAGTAGTACACTGAGCTCCTTACATCACTGAAGACCCCAGTAGCAGTACACTGAGCTCCTTACATCACTGAAGACCCCAGTAGTAGTACACTGAGCTCCTTACATCACTGAAGACCCCAGTAGTAGTACACTGAGCTCCTTACATCACTGAAGACCCCAGTAGCAGTACACTGAGCTCCTTACATCACTGAAGACCCCAGTAGCAGTACACTGAGCTCCTTACATCACTGAAGACCCCAGTAGTAGTACACTGAGCTCCTTACATCACTGAAGACCCCAGTAGCAGTACACTGAGCTCCTTACATCGTATGAACTTTTAAAATAGCAAAAGGTGATTATAGTTTTTCCCCCGGACTGTACATCAAGTGGGGGATCTCGAGAGATGAGACACTCCGGCAACATTTACAATAAGTGATAAGAGAAAATGAAACAGACGGCACACACACATGTAACAGAGAGCAGTGGTGTGTAGTGCTGTAGTACTGTAAATAGTAACACAGGAATGGGTTTGCTCCCACACTGGAGCTCGCTCTATTCCGCCGACTTGACTTGACTGACTCACGACTGCCATCCAGAGCACACGAGAAGTCCATCGAACCTTCGACTCGGCAAACCTGCAAGAAAGCACCACTCCCTGCTCAATACACAGTGTTTCGGGGAATTCACCCCTCATCAGTTGAGCTTGAGTAGGCTGAGGAAGATTGTGCCTGAAGAGCACCGGCACCGAGTCGAAGGTTCGATGGACTTCTCGTGTTCTCTGGATGGCAGTCGGGAGTCAGTCAAGTGTCAAGTCATGTCGGCGGAATAGCGGGAGCTCCAGTGTGGGAGCAAACCCATTCCTAAACAAAATCATCGCCGAAGTCGCAACCTCTATTTCGTACAGCATATGTAGATCTGATGTAGATCTGATTCCTACTGGCCTTACCAATGCTCATTGTGGATGGATCCAGCCCAATAGAACTGTTAGTAGGGAGTTCCTGCATGTATGCACCCACCCACCCACACATACATACACACACACACACAAACACACACACACACACACACAAACACACACACACACACACACATACACACACACACATATACACACACATACACACACACACACACACACACACACACACACACACACACACACACACAAAAACACACACAGGCTATGTTGCAAAATCCTTGCAAAGAGTGCTCGATACCACGAGGGCAGAGCCAAAAGATACAAGTTAGCAATGGGACAAGACTGAAGTACATGTATGAGTAGCAACATACTTCAGCCTAGCTCCATTGCTAACTTGCGTCATTCACACACACACACATGAATGTTCACACGCACATGCAACCGAGCATAATGCAATGCCGCCAAATAAACAGCAGCCTAGCAAAACAAAGCAAAGTAACCCACAGCTGGGAGCAGTATTGCAGGTACAGCCACTGATCAACCATCTGCTGAAACACAGTATTAGCCATACCTTGGACAAGTAGGATTCAATCGTGGGTGTATCGGGAAGACCTGTGCAACAACAACAAAAATGGGAGAGAGAGACAGAGAGAGAGAGAGAGAGAGAGAGAGAGAGAGACTGTGCACGTCTGACTGTTCAAAATCTGGTTTAGTTGGTGGACTTGATCGCATAACTTGTGCCCACATTTTTCCATGTTCCAATTTTTTCCTTGGCTCACCATCTGAGTTCTTAATGTACTCCCTTATAAGTGTACTTTTGTGTGCTATAGACTAGAGTGTATGCTATAGTGTATGCTACAGTGTATGCACACTGTGTACACAGCTGGAGAGAACTACTTACCGAGTTTCATGAGCTGCCAGTGATGCTCATCAAGCTCCTGCAGTGCCTGTGTGAAATACCGGCCATCTGTCCAGAGCAATGCCTTCTTGTCTGTAACCACTGCCGTGCCTGCAGTTCACGCACACGCACACACGCACACATACACACACACACACACACACACACACACACATGTACACACGCACACGCACACACACACACATGTACACACGCACGCACACGCACACACACACGCACACACACACACACACACACACACATCACCAGCCTGATACGTGGCTCTAATGTTATATCCTTGAGCCATACCATCACGTCAAGAGTACATAACCCCCAGGTAACCCCCAGGTACTCTAGATACCATATAACCCCGGGGTTATGGACTCTTGATACCATTGATACCGTGAGAGAATCCTTGAGAAGATCCAATTGCCACTGAATTCATGCATGCTTGGGTATTGCCATCTGCCCCTCATTCACAGCATGCATTCCATTTTGGCACAGACTAACTTGACAGGAGCCCAAGAGAAGAACATCACAGCATTACAGTAAGACATGTTATTATAACGATTCGTAAATTTAACGATTGTCCAACATCCATAGGTTAACGAGAAGATACGTTAACGATCTTGCGGTCTTCAGGCATATCCACATATAACGCATATAATGCCTTACAGTCTGAACAGAACTTATTATAACGAAGAAATGTAACTCGTTAAAACGTTAGATTTACTTCCACGTTATATTCACATGTCCTACAGTAGCACCTTCCTGTAGCTTACCACAGGAGCCGGTAAAACCAGAGATGAACTGACGATGCTGATCACAGTCCGCCAAGTACTCATTCTGTTTCGGATAGACAACAATGAAAAAAAAGGAAAAGGAAGAAAAGAAAAAGAAGGTTACCGTAGGAGTGGTACTGTATTTCCCCAGGGTGTTAGCCGCATCGGAGTCTAAGCCTCAGCCCCCAAACACCCGCCCACCCCTCAACCTCCTTTTCGGGCCCAAACTTTGTATTTTTGTTATTTTCTGCTAACGAGCACTGGTATATACAAGACAGTACAGATGGTTAAAAAATAAGAAGCACGATTGAAGAAAGGATTGGGAGAACTTCTCAAATTCAAAGGATCAGTCGGGGAAGTGAACTGCCTGAAAAGAGAAAAAAAACCGCCAGACCCACCAGGACTGGTGGGTCTGGCGTTTTTTTCACGATTGAAGAAGCAAAAGTGTTCTACTTTGTCCTTCACTCTTCACATCTTTCATTCTGAACTGACAACATGATGTCACTTGTACAGTTGTGCTCAGTGAAATCAAACTCAAAGTGCATATTTAGCATCCTCAACTTGCACGACCCTTGACGCCCTGGAAGTGGTACGAATGCAGCTGGACATACACATGTACAAGTAAGTGATGTAATCAGGACTGGGCCAGGGAGCCAGTTTTGCAATTTAGGTCGGACTTCGGTTCGCGGAACTGGAGTATTGTAGACGGTTCGCACTAGTGCTTCCCTCACGAAGGGCTTGACCCGAAAATTCGAGTAGTATTTTCAATTAATTCCCGTAGCTTTGCAAAAGACGTTACTTCAGTAACGTCTGGCGCTAGCCAGGGTCCACACAGCTTTAATTCGGTGTTCGTTTGTGCCATCGGCATGCCTGGCGCTATCCCGTACCTGTTCCGTACCGTACCATCAAAGACAGCTGGCCACAAACAGCTGGCCGCAATATTCAAATAGGGCTTTCAAATGGAAGATCATAACGTGAAGCAACTTGGAAGAAGGAGTATGTATGCGAAGTGTATCGGGGGAATGCATGCAGGGAGATAGTGCGGGTTCGAATCCCAGGTTTATGTCTTGATTAGGAAAATGGGAGAAATGAAAAATTTATAACATCCCTATGCTTTTCTTGCCCAGGTCATCAAGGTGGTAGACGGTGTCGCTTTAGCCACGACTGTACCTGTCCCGTACCGTACCATCAAAGATAGCTGGCCACAAACAGCTGGCCGCAATATTCAAATAGGGCTTTCAAATGCAAGATCAGATTCACAACGTGAAGCAACTTGGAAGAATGAGTATGTATGCGAAGTGTATCGGGGGATGCATGCAGGGCGATAGTGCGGGTTCGAATCCCAGGTGTCTTGAGAAAAAAATAGGAGAAATGAAAAATTTATATCATCCCTATGCTTTTTTTGCCTAGGTCATCAAGGTGGTAGACGGTGTCGTATTACCCTCGAATGCAAAGAGAAAGTTTGATGTAGCCAATCAATGGAGAAAAAAACATTTCCATCAGTTCTTATAACATGCATGATGAGCTAGCTAGGCAAAAAAAGCATAGCGTAGGGCCCTGAGCTTCCAAGCTCTCTTATTCAGACATGGCACGTGCATATTGCCATGCTACAGCCAATGAGAAGCCAGAATAAGCGGGCAGGAACAGCTGGTCTTGCCCGCTTATTCTGTACGCGATACGGTATCGCTGCTGTTCCTGCCCGCATACCCGGGCAGGAACAGCAGCAATACAGCACCGCGGCGCGCATGCGTACTTACCTTTTTTCTCAGTTCGTATCTTGTCGAGTCTGCAAGAGTTTATCCAAAGTTTCCCTTGTTTATCCAAATATGGCAGAGCCAGCACCAAAACGTTTTGCTACGGTCACAGATGCCGATGTGGAGAGGATCATCGCGGACCGTACGCCGAAAAGTACGAAGTACTCTACGAAAAACTGGGTGGCCGTACTCGATACTTTCATGAAGAAGGCAAATATGGTGCTCGATCTGAAAACGTGTACGAAGGACGATCTGTGCCATGTACTTTGTCTGTGCTACGTTGAGATGCGCACCCAAAAAGGCGAGAACTACCAGTACAGTTCGTACAAAGGTTTCCGTGGGGCAATTCAACGCCACTTGAATGACCTTGGCAGGAAGTTCAACATTTTCAACGACATGGAATTTCGCAGATCCAATGACACCTTTGATGGAATGATAAAGAAACTGAAGAGAGAAGGTGGCATGAATCCGATTGCACACAATGATATTATAACCGACACCGACATGTACAAGATCACCTACCTCTTCGATACAAAGAAGGATGCCAAGTGCCTAATACAACAAGTATGGTTCTATGTCACAATGCATTTCGGTATCCGTGGACGTGAGCTGCAGTGTAACATGAGAAAGCAGGATTTGGTGATCCTGAAAGACAGCAACGGACAGTTCTACATCAAGTTGGCAACTGATTTTGCCCAGAAAAACCACCAGCTGGGCGCCATTGCCACACCTGCTGGACGTATCCAGAAGGATACACAAGTGTTCTCAGTGCAACGCCTGCTGAGCAAGTTGCACCCTGACTGTGACCGGCAACGCCTGCTGAGCAAGTTGCACCCTGACTGTGACCGGCAACGCCTGCTGAGCAAGTTGCACCCTGACTGTGACCGGCAACGCCTGCTGAGCAAGTTGCACCCTGACTGTGACCGGCAACGCCTGCTGAGCAAGTTGCACCCTGACTGTGACCGGCAACGCCTGCTGAGCAAGTTGCACCCTGACTGTGACCGGCAACGCCTGCTGAGCAAGTTGCACCCTGACTGTGACCGGCAACGCCTGCTGAGCAAGTTGCACCCTGACTGTGACCGGCAACGCCTGCTGAGCAAGTTGCACCCTGACTGTGACCGGCAACGCCTGCTGAGCAAGTTGCACCCTGACTGTGACCGGCAACGCCTGCTGAGCAAGTTGCACCCTGACTGTGACCGGCAACGCCTGCTGAGCAAGTTGCACCCTGACTGTGACCGGCAACGCCTGCTGAGCAAGTTGCACCCTGACTGTGACCGGCAACGCCTGCTGAGCAAGTTGCACCCTGACTGTGACCGGCAACGCCTGCTGAGCAAGTTGCACCCTGACTGTGACCGGCAACGCCTGCTGAGCAAGTTGCACCCTGACTGTGACCGGCAACGCCTGCTGAGCAAGTTGCACCCTGACTGTGACCGGCAACGCCTGCTGAGCAAGTTGCACCCTGACTGTGACCGGCAACGCCTGCTGAGCAAGTTGCACCCTGACTGTGACCGGCAACGCCTGCTGAGCAAGTTGCACCCTGACTGTGACCGGCAACGCCTGCTGAGCAAGTTGCACCCTGACTGTGACCGGCAACGCCTGCTGAGCAAGTTGCACCCTGACTGTGACTGTGACCGGCTTTTCCAGAGACCAAAGTCTAACTACTGACCTCGGGAAGAGTTCTGGTTTACGAGTTCTGGTTTACGAGGGCGCCTATGGGAAAGAACACATTGGGCGATATTATGAAGTCCATCTGTGCGGATGCTGGTACGTCAAAAACGTACACAGATCACTGCCTCAGGGCATTCACTGTGTCCCGCCTGAACGCTGAGAGTGTGCCAGAGCGCCACATCATGGCCATAACGGGCCACAAGAATGCGCAATCACTGACGAGGTACTGTCGGCCAACAGAGGAGCAGGAGCGCCACATGGCAGCACTGTTAGATGGCGATGCAGGTCAACAGCCTTCAACAAGTACTGCTCTGGTCCCAAGCTCGCAGTTCGGCAGAGATGTGCTGGATTTGCTAGGAGACCTGCCTCCACAAGCTTCTGTTCCATCTCCATCGCCTGCTGCTGCTCCAATCTGCTCCCAGGTTGCAACCACAGGTGTTGCCACCTCTGCTGTTGCGTTTTCAGGCCAGCAACCACCTCAAGCGTCCTTTGACGATGGCCACGTAGATGTGGATGAGCTTCTGGGTGGCCTGTCACCGTCCGAGCTCCTCGCTCTAGAAGCGCCACCAACGCCTTCAGCCACCACTGAACAGCGTAATGCTCTGCTCCACTTTGGTTCCGGAAACAACTTCTCGGGAGCAGTTTTCAACTTGAACCTAACTCTAAAATAAAACTCTACTTTTCTGTACTCTCTCGTACTGGCCTTCACGAAACTGAAAATAAAACCATGCTGGTCATGACCTCGTTGTTTGTGACGTGGGCCTTGTCTGAACCGCAATCCTACACAGTTACATCGGGCATGCCGCGCTGATCTTGCCCTCGGTCAGGTGAGTGATCCTACCCTCGGTCGCGACGCCCTCGGGGCTCGGGCAGGATCACTCACCTGACCTCGGGCAAGATCAGCGCGTCATGCCCTCGTAACTGTGTAGGATTATGTATTTGGTGTATCCCAGAGACCTCTAAGAGTGTGACAATTTGGTATGGATATAAATAGTGGGTTAACTACAGTGGAGTCTTCATGTCTTGAGAAAATCAGTGCCAGTATTCATTTTTCCAGGCACAAGAAGCTACAGAATACCCACAACCCATCAAGCCAAATCATGGTGATACTATGTCTCGGCCTATGACCGAATTTCTCTCAGGATATCAAGCAACAGCTCTCAGACTGACCTGATGGCGATCACCGGTGGGAATGACATATGCATGAAGACCAGCTGGAGAAGCAGGCGTTATCTCCTTCTTCATTGCCTGTCGAAGGCTCCTCAACGAAGTCGAGTGTATGCGTGTAGCCATCATAAAACTACAGTATGTGCACACAATTACTACTAGTACTTCATCCAGATACACTGTGCTCTGAGTTACAATCGATAATAGTTGAACAAGGTTTCAGCAAGGGTACAGAAGAAATGTTTGAGTGTGAAAAAATTCAAAACAAAGCAAACAAGAACAGAAAAACGTGAGCGATGTGGTCATCATGTGGACCATGAGTCATGACGTGACGGACAGATGTGGTAGACGGTAGAGTCAAGGCGTAGCTGGTAGGTCACTGCACACATATGCACAGTTCAGTTGAGCCAGTTGCTGTTGTGCCAGTTCGTCCCCGAGTTGTTCACAGCTACAGAAGAAAACTGCTCAGTGGTGTTACTCGTACTTGGTTGGAAAGGGAATTCGGTCAGTAGCCACGAAAAAGGGCTTCACTCTTCACGTCGGGCTTCGCTCGGGTGATTGTGTAGTCTTCAGTTCCTTTTTTCCGTTCGTAAGGAGTTGATCGCTTGGGTCACGTCAGAATTTGAGTATCTGCTACAAATTATCGTAGATCGTGTACCCTTCCAGCACTCTCTGCATCTGGCTCTGTTTGACCTGTGAAAGTGTCGTCCCCTGATCCGCTTCATGATGAATTGTTCTCTATTCCCCGACAATCCCAATCACTGTGTAAGTACCGTCGTGTGGGCCGGCTATAGGCTATAGCGCTATGTCCAGATTTACGCGTAGACGAATGTGATCGTGATAGTTGTACAAAATACATTTTAGATATGCTCAGTTTTTGAATTTATAATGTTGAATGTTCGCTGATTTTGCATGTCGGCGTTGAAGTGATCAGCAGGATGCTGAGTTAGTGCCCGTCTTCACTTCTGCTGAACTTGCTTCTTGGATGAGAGAAGACAAGAGAGAGAGAGGGATAGCATGGAGTCAACCAGTTGAAGAAAGTGGTACACCGATACACACACACACACACACACACACACACACACACACACACACACACACACACACACACACACACGCACACACACACACACACCGACACACCGACACACACACACACACACACACACACACACACACGAACACACAGACACCCACACACAGACACACAGAGAGAAAGTTATCTACATCACATGGCAGTGCAATCAGACCTCTTTAGTCCGGCATCCTTGATATCCGACAGGGTTTCTCAGCTAACAGGTCGTGGGCGCTTATTTTACAGCGCTGACATGGCATTTGCAATCCGCCTCAGGGACGGTCCTTTTCCGAAACGAAACGCTCAAACTGTGTGTGCCTGTGTGCGTGTACATGTGTGTGTGTGTGTGTGTGTGTGTGTGTGTGTGTCTGTGTCTGTGTCTGTCTGTCTGTGTGCGTGTGTTGTGATGGTGCATTGCCCGTACAGACTGTCATCATAAACATTAGAAGAGCATTCTCTACACTGTCCCTGGTAGGATGGTAAGTGAAGCCACTGACCAAGCTGTGCAAGTGATGCAAATTTGTGTGCTCCATGTTTCTCATAATAATACTCGTATAATAGTACTATTAGTACTAATAGTACTAATAGTACTAATAGTACTAATAGTACTAATAGTACTCGCATATGCGAGGTACGGCACTGTACTACTGTACTACTGTATTAGGTAGCGTTTCCGTTGAGTTACAGTCTATTTCCTATTCACAAAACACCATGAGTGTCCTAGTGTCCATAGCAGTGTGCTAGTGAATGGCAAAGGCTAATTCCTGTTTAGATAAGTGAATCCCAATACAAATTTGAACTCGGATGTTGAGCCAAAGTAATCATGGATTAAAAGAAAGGACTAAACGTGCCTTGTCCTTGTCAGTTTGTGCCTTTTTGTCGCACTCGCTGACTGTATAATTATGATCTGGTTACGTTGGTGGACGGTTACCAAGTAGTCAAAACTCGTAACATGTTGTCCTTTCTTTTAATCCATGAATCCCAATACACACAACATTATACACATGGAGGTGAACATGCTTCAACACTGTACAGAGCACCCCCCCCCTCTCTCCAGCCCTGAAGGTAGGTGTCCTCTGGCACTGCCTGCAGTACAGTAGAGTTGTGCGCCCAAGAACGTCCAGCCTGAAATGCGAAGAACGCCACAGCCTCAGGTTAAAAGAACGACGGTGTTGGTTTTCTGGCAGCTTGTGTGATACAAGTACATATGATCCAGTACGAATTGTTCGTGTAAACAATGCTCTTGGGCGCGCGGCTACTGTATTGTCATAACTACCTGCATGTTAACGTAAGCAATTGGCAATTGCTGCAGGGTATGATAGGGTGTTCCACTGCCCCCAAGAGCGCTCAATGCCCGTATAAGACAGAGCAATCTGATGATCGGGAATAACGTGTAGCCTGCGTATCACCTTGTTGACAGTTGTGCGGTACATTGCACATGCATTCATGCGTGACTCCGTGATTATGCATGTGTTGTGTGTTGTCTATTGTCATGTTGTGTTGTGTGTATGTCCTTGTGTAGTATTTTCGTCATCTTCATCATCTGGCTCTTCAGAAAATACAAATACTTTGTACAGGTAAGAAGAGGACGTATACCCTGTCACACCATGAATGCTATGATGTTAGTGCATCATTTGTGCTGTAGCTCTGCCTCTGGCTTCGGCTCTGGCTGTTCTTTAGTTGTCGGTGTGCATGTCTTAGTGAGTGCCGTGAAAACACTTTTCAAAACAGCATTCTGGTTCTACTGCAATAGTGTAGCTGTATCCTGACAATGTGACTGTGTATGTGTGTGTGTGTTTGTGTATGTGTGTGTGTGTGTTTGTGTGTTTTTGTGTGTGTGTGTGTGTGTGTGTGTGTGTGTGTGTGTGTGTGTGTGTGTGTGTGTGTGTGTGTGTTGTGTTGTGTCTTCTATTGCACAGCGACTCATCTTAGCCTTGACAGTGGCAGCAGCAATGGATAGTATTTCGTATCTAATGGTTAGTGTACCCTCTGAGACTGGTAGTCTCTCTCTCTCTCTCTCTCTCTCTCTCTCTCTCTCTCTCTCTCTCTCTCTCTCTCTCTCTCTCTCTCAGTGAGTACGTTCGATTACGCACTTGAATTGATTCATGAATCGATTCAAGTGCATTCATATCGTTCGATTTTCATGTCATGAGCGCTGGAATCGATTCAGAATCCATTCACCCTATTCACATGGGGTTAATAGCGCGGATCGATTCGCGGGCATAATCGAACGCACTCAGTGCCGTCCTTATCTGGCATCATGATGAGTGTTTTCTCATGCGAATGATGCCTGATGAAATTTGAAAGGGATTCACAGTGGGCAAGGGGAAAGGGCGCAACTGTGTGTTGTGCTTACAAGTTGTCACTGCTGCATTTGTGATGGTTGCTTGATTTTGTTTCCCTGTCTTCTGCATGCCCAAAGTGTACTACTAGTCACTAGTGCTCACCTCTCTGAGCTCTAGATTCCCTGATTCCCTGGTCTTGTTTGCGCTTCTACTGCAGGGTGCTATTCATGAAGAGAGAGAGCCAATTTGTGTGGTACAGGCGTTCTGGATGTCCTTCTTCGGTAAGATACCGCTGTGCCTGCATGTATGTAGTGGTTAAACAGGTCCATAGCGCTGGGATTTCAAGTAGTCGGGCCAAATGGGATTTTTGGCCGGAATTAGCCTTACTGACGAAAACCCCGTTTTGCATGAACTGGATGGGTCAACTTTGTTCGAAAGAAGGTCCAGGCGCTATGCCCCTGTCCTAGAGGCTGAAAATGAAAAGCAGTGGCTCGCTGGAAGGGAAAGAAGAAGAAAACACTTCTAAAGCCGTGTGATATGAGCAGGTGACCAGTAAGTAGTTGTGTTCGAAGTCTCAACTTCAAACCCAGCACAAGTTTGATATGAGCAGGTGACCAGTAAGTAGTTGTGTTCAAAGTCTCAACTTCAAACCCAGCACAAGTTTCAATGGCTTCTATGAAGTACTATCATGGAAATGTTGTCTTTGCCTTAGGTGACCGGTGTCTACGTGTGAGGACTTATGTGCGTGTCTGTACATATAATTATGTGTGTGTGTGTGTGTGTGTGTGTGTGTGTGTGTATGTATGTATGTGTGTGTGTGCGTGTGTGTGTGTGTGTGTGTGTTTCTGTGTGTGTACATGTGTGTCTGTACTTGTGTGTGTGTTGCAGACTGGGCAGTACTGCTGTGGGTGTGCTGTATAGCATTCAATCTCTTCATGAACGTCATCAGACTACGTAGAACTGAGAATTTTGAGAAGTAAGTCAATGTGCCGCTCGGCCCTGTTCCCAGTTTGGGGACTTGTTATGATTTGCATGTACTTTTTAACTTGTAGTACTATATGCCACTGGAACTAGTATTTATTCAATTATTGTACTGAGATAGTTTGTGGTTTTGAACTTTTTCTTCTTCTAATTGGAGACGTGGAGAGAGACAGACCGACGAACAGACACACACAGACACACACAGACACAGAGAGACATAGAGTGTGTATCTGTTGTTCTTGCTGCTGTGTGTGTATGAGGGGGGGGGGGGGGGTCTCCAGGGGGCGTCGCCGGGCAATGGTGAGTGGTACGACGGGGGGGGGGGGGAGGTTGCGGAGGTGTTTCCGGGGAAAACAAATTCGGATTTCTCAGCCAGCAGGGCACATCTTAGCGCTCTACAGGCACTCTGGCAGCTGGACTGACCATCCTGGATGAAAAATGGTACGACCATGGTCTACCGTGTGTGACGCCCCTAGGCACAACAGTGTTCATGCTCAGGTAACAATTGGTTGCCTCGGGAGATGGTACATAATTGAGTTTGGTATATCTGTCTGTCTGTGTATCTCTCTGTGTGCTCTGTCTGTCTACCTGTGTGCTATGTGTGCTGTATACGATTACATACACTATAGATGGTATCATGTGATATGCTGGGGGGTATCACTGATCATGGCCTGTATACCTATCAAGCAATACGGTCCAGCGGGTGCTTGGTGGTAAGTCTACCTGTCTGTGTGAGTGTGTTGCTGCTGCTGCTGTTGCTTGTGCCAATGTTGGTCAGCTGACTTGCTTGCTATTACCAAAAGTACATAACCACGTTATGTACTCTCGGTAATACTTTGCTGTAGATGGCATACAGGACTAATATGCTGCTATATATTCGTTGTGTTTAACTAGTTTGCATTAGGGAGGTTCCGGAGTACGATTTTTCGTGCCAAAATCCGAGTAGGCGCTACGAATTTTTTATACGTCGTTTTCGAGCAGTGAAGAGTTCCGGGATACGGAACTCTTCTTATGCCGTCATTGCCTAGGTTACGATCGCAAACACGTCACATTCCCGCGCTATGCCTTTTTACTTTGAAAATTTGTACTTCCTCCGTATACAAAAACTTCGTGACTTTTTTTGAAAGCTGCGCACAGCTCTGGAATGGTTCCGTTTGACTCGGAATAACACTCGTGGCATTGTCTAACCTGTTTACAAGCTATATACAAAGAAAAAAGCAACTCAGACGAATGAGATTGAGTTTTTTCAGAATCTTCGTCGCTCATGTCATTGTCACCTGACGACGCTGACTCCGCATCGCCAGTCGCTGCTTTCGCCCGCATTTCGTTCAGATTCTTGTCACCTGCAGTGATGGTCCGACGCTGGACTTTGGCTAAGTCCCCTTCATCTCTACGGAGAGCTGTGTACGAATCGGTGTCGACTATATTCAGTCGTTCCAACCCGCGACCTCCATTATGCCGTGAAACGAGTCGTACAAGCACATCCACACGCTTCGCATTTTCTCGCCAGGATAATCCTCCCAAGCATTCTACAATGGCTTCGAGGAGGTCCCTGCGATTCCCCTTGGCGACAAAGGAGACGTCTGACTGGGGAGTCTGAGAGGCGAAGAAAGCCAGGCTATCGACATTCTGATCCTGAGTCTGCGCTGGTTGCACGACAACTGAAATGTTTCATCTTGCCGTGCGAGCGAAACAAATCTATGTTCTCACGCTGAGTAGATCTATGCCTATGGGGCCGCGCACCGCAAGTACGAGCCTGGCCAGTTTCAGGGCAGCGAGTGCCGCGTGAGTCCGTGTTCCAGCCACGAGCTACACTTCGTCACTGTGTCAGTTTCGAGCAAGTAAGTGTTATTTTTTTCATTTGACTCTGGAGTTTCTGTCGGCAACGTCCTCACACGCATGGCGTCCGTGGAGAATCTGTTCGGGATCAACCAAACTAACCTCGACATGGACGTGGGTTGTCGATGACAGCCTTTGGCGCCGTTCGTTGAGCAGGTTCTTGCTCAAAAACACCGTTCAAAAAAGTCACGAAGTTTTTGTATACGGAGGAAGTACCGAAATCAAAACTTCCCGCGAAAAATCGATGTTCCTCGTACCAAATTTGTACGCGAAAAATCTTTCTGCACCCGATGACGCAAAATCTCCATACGAAACATGGTTCGTATGAAAGCCAGTCCACACGGATTCTCCGTGCCGAAAAATCGTATGGAGCACGCCTGGAAAAAATCCGTAGCGCCCATACGGATTTTGGCACGGAAAATCGTACCCCGGAACCTCTCTATTGCTTTTAGTTACTTCCTCGTCCACCCACATGACCCTACATCTCATTGCATTGTGTCTTGTGTGCAGGCCCACCGTTGTACTCCCTCGGCAGTTTCTATAAGCCCTGTTGTTCCTGGTCTTTCTTTATTGGCCTTCTCTGATTTCTGTGATCTTCTCTTGCTTGTGTCTGTGTGTGTGCGTGCAGCTGGATTGAAAGGGGAGAGACCGGACTGAGATTTGGCACGTAAGTCTGTACTTGCTGGCCACCTGCTGTACAGCATAGCAGCAGTACATGTACATGCTGTGCAGCATAGCAGCAGTACATGTAGTATTGTGGTGTTGGCTGCATGGGAGCTGTGTGTTCTTGAACATAACGTTGGCCCTCTCTGCTACTGTACTCACACGTACGTGCACACACACACACACACGCACACACACACTTGTAGTTGTAATTGTAATTTCTCACTGCCAAAACTGGTCACGCGGGTCTAGAAATTTGAAAGGAATCTTGGAAAGATGACTCAATTGGCTATTGTGTCGCCCAACGGCCGACACCCCCTGAAACCCCCCAACTCTGGGTGGACTTGGAAATGATGTTGTTGCTGCTGCTGCTGCTGCTTGTGTCTCTTCAGGTGGTATGTACCATTGTTTATCTTGATTGGTATGCTCTTCTTGGTCTACATCTACATCATCGTTACTATACAGAGACAGGTATGTACTGCGTACTGTGTACTGTGTGACGGCACACCTGGGGACACCCTTCACCTACCGTCTCTCTCTCTCTCTCTTTCTCTCTGTTATTGTCGCCATGCAGAGACAAACATGTGGTTCATGAGGTGTACTATCTTGCCCAGTGGATGCTGCAGATGTGGCACAACTCCTATTTGACTTTCAAGAATTCCTGTGCAGATGATCAGCATTCGAATTCTATTGCTTCATGCGATACATACGTGTGCGTGTGTGTGTGTGTGCGATGTGCGTGTGTGTGCGATGTGCGTGCATATGTGTGTGTATGTGTATGTATTTGTGCAGGTCCGTCGTTGGGATGGAACATACAATCCAGAGACACAGCGTGACAAGGTACGTGTGGTGGACACTGTAGTGTCACTGTACACAGTACTGCTGGTAGTGCCACTGTCAACCTGCTACTATTCATCTCACTATTGGGGGTCTTTGCTCAACACGTGGACGATCAGTGTGTACTGTCATTCAATCTCCAGACGCTGTGTGTGTGTGTGTGTGTGTGTGTGTGTGTGTGTTTCTTGCAACAGGAGCGTCTAAAGGAAGACGTGCGGCCTTTGAAAGCTTACCCTGTCATCTACTTGGTCTTGTCAATTTTCCCACTTGTCAACAGGTACTGTGCTGTGCGGCTTGGACATTTGCACATTACTGCTTAGTGAATGTATAGGCAGGCTGATACTGATGCTGTAGCTGCTGATACTGATGCTGTAGCTGCTGATACTGATGCTGTAGCTGCTGATGCTGATGCTGTAGCTGCTGCTGCTACTGTCTTGGGTTGAGTTGAGTGTTGTTGGTGATTGTGACTGCACAGCATTGTGCACTGGTGTGTTGTGCGAGTTTAGTTTCCAATACATGTAATCCCATTGCACATCCTCAAGTACATGTATGGAATGCATGGTTATTGGCTTAGTGCATGTGAGTGTGAGAGTAGATGAGGAGCACACTGTTCACCCCTCTCACAACCATTCCCTGGTGGCCATGTACGATGCTCCAGTAGAAGCTACATCAACGCACAGGGGGCTCATACCTGCCTTTGTACATCTTGTATGTTTGATTTCTAATTGTAGAATCCAGAATGCAGTTTCCAACGACCAGGCCATATTTGCGTTATGGGTACTGCACGCAATATCCTCACCGCTTCAAGGATTCTTTAACTCAGTGGCCTTTGCGCTGGACAAAGAAACCTTCAGCCGGCTAAACCTAACACAGATGAGGGTAAGGCTTACATTTCACTGGATTTCTTCATGACGAATGTACTGCACGACACGCGCGCGCGCGCGCACACACACACACACACACACACTACTACTACTACTACCGTACTGGCAATATATGTTGCCGCGTAACGCGTAACGCAGGGGGGTGCGGCGTAACGCGCGACCAGGCTAGTGCGACAAATTTTCGTTGCGTTCGTAACGCGCGTCCGGCGGGGTGCGGCGATCTTTTCATTGCAGTTTGCACTGCAAAAAAAAGGCTGAAAACTGTGAAAGCACGTGTACCGCGTGGTGAAAAGTTCAAAACTGGACGCAGCAGGAAGTCCTGACACTCGAAGGCGCATCATTCAGTGGTTGGCGATCTCAATGGTTTCTTCTTTCCCGAGGTCGTTTTGCGAAGAAGAGCGATGTGTTTACCAGTTTCCTTGTGACAATGCGGCAATATAGAAACCTGTGTAACGGCTCCTGTGCGACTTTGCGTGTAACGCCCTGCGTGCGGTAAACATGTGCCAATGTAACGCTTCATGGCCTCACTGCGACCATATATATTGCCAGTACGGTACTACTACTACTAGTACTACTACTATAGCATGGCTGCCCCATAGGGCCACGCCACTCCCTTGTGACAGGGAGCCAGAGTCAGGGTAAGAAAGTCAATGCTGGCGAGCCACATGCCGGGTGAGATCTTGTGGAAGCCGAAAACGTTTGTTGCAGAGACGGCACTCATATTCGAAGGTTTCCCTCTGTTTACAAGTAGGGCGACTGCCACGGCTGCATTTGTGCCGCTTGAAACCGGATGGCGAAAACTGGCGTTGGCACATTGAGCATTGGAGTTTGCCACTGTCCAGGAGAATCGACTCTCGACTAGACGAGGGCGGGCAAGCTTGGGTGCTGATCGTACTGCAGGTGCACTTGTGGACAGCACGGCCTCCAGCGCTGGCAAACCATCTGCTGCAGATATCGCATTGGAGTGCACCACGCTGGAGATGGATAGGCATCCTCTTCTGAGCGGTACACTTGTGACGAGCCATGTAGTGCGGCTTTGCAAATGTTCTGCGGCATACGGTGCATTCCACGCGAGCAGGTGCTGGCTTCGGTGGAGGTGGTGTGTGCACAAACTGGCGCCATTCAGACCTCTCCGAGGCCACGTCAAACCAGTTTGGAAGATGTTGGAGGTCAACACGCAACACGTCCTTCCAGCGCCGACGAGGACCATGGGCAGGCTGGGTCGTTTCCAGGGACCCAAACAAGAGCTGTCGCGGTGCACGCTCAGGTTCAAGGCGTACAACATGACCAAGCCATTCGAGGCGCCGATGCCGGATCTTCTCAGATAGCGCAATGGGATCTCCCCAGCGATCCCGCAGCTGCTGTGAGGTGATGTGCTCTTTCCACTGAGCGGTTCTGGACACACCAATAACAGCCCGCAAGCATCGATGGTGGAAAGTGTCTATATGCCTGAGGTCGGCTTGGAGTGGGGTCCCAGTGTCTGCTCTAGGATTGTAGGACAGCCGGGTACACGTGTACCTGGCGCAACCATTTCAACCGGGTCGGAGCCGGGTACACAATCATGTACCTGGCGCTGTCTCACCAGCCGAGTCACATGCTTAAACTGGTTGGTTGGCTTATTTTAACTCGGACTATAAACGGGAACTAGGCCCGTTTATAAAGGCGAATAGATAAGCCGCATTTAGAAAAGAGAGGACAGGAATTAGAAAATTACGAAAAAAGAAGAAGTATCTGACACATACAAGCCATGTAGTCAGTCCTTTCAAAGTTCGAAAGTGTAAAGTACCAACCGGGTCACAGGTGACCCGGTACTATATTTTCAACCGGGTCCAAGCGCCGCCCTACCGGGTGGATTACCCGGCTCACCCGGCGCTGGAGCAGACACTGGGTCCAACATTCAGCACTGTACAGTAGTATGGACACTACACAGGCAGAATACAAATGTCTCTTGGTGGACAGAGACAATGTGGGATCACGGAACACCTCCAACAATGCACCAAAAGCCTTAGCGCCGTTAGCAATGCGACGAGCGACGTCGTGACAGGATCTGGTGTCAGGTGTGATGACGCTACCAAGATATACAAAAGACGGTACACATTCGACTTGGTCGCCAGCAACCAGGATGGGGGCACAATCCGCCTCAGAAGCAAAATGACCCGCAACGAAAAACTTCGTTTTGGGAATACACGCACACACACACACACTACTACTACTACTGTAGCTTGGCTGCCACAAGGGCCACACCACTCCGAAAGGAGCCAGAGTCATTGTCAGGAGCAGAAACGGAGATGACGACTCAGGTCACTCTGTCGACGGAACTGACGGCTGCAGCGAGAACAGCGAACACCATACGACGCTCTATCAGACTTGGTTGCTCGATGGCCACGGTCGCACTTGTGACGTCTGAAACCAGGCACTGACTTGAACTGCCGATTGCATGTCACACACAAGAGAGAAGCTGGGACGTTGAGCGGAATAGGTGATGCCGGCGCGGACGCTTCCGATGGTTCCAGGGACAAACAATGATGTACACACAAGCCACCACGAGAGTGAAACCACCTCCTGCATGTACCACACTGCACAGCACCACACTGTTCCTGGATGGGGAGACTTCGTTCTGCGGTACACTTGTGTCTTGCTTTGTCACCTGGCCGACGAAACGAACGGTGGCAGATAAGACAGTCCACCCGTTGAGATTGGTCATGGGAAGGACCGCCGAGGCTCGGCCCAACGGCAGACACCCGCCAGGCAGATCGATCCTGAGCAATCCCATACCAAGCTAGATGTTCAATGCCGATGTGCCGAAGATCAGCCGAAATCACATCCCTCCAGCGACGACGGGGACCACACGCAGGCCGAGGCGACGGTAGGAAGCCAAACAACAGCTGCTTGGGCACACGAACATCCGACATGCGGGCCACATGGCCAAGCCATTCAAGCCTCCGCTTCCGAAGCCGGGAGGACAATAGCGATGGATCACCCCACATCTCTCGGAGCTGCTCATTGGTGATGCGTTCCTCCCACTGTTGTGTTCGCGAAACACACAAGATGCTACTGATGCATTGGTGGTGGAAACTATCGAGGCGCCGGAGGTCACCCTGCAAAGGGCACCAGCACTCCGAAGCATACAGTAGCACTGTCATCACACAGGCGTTATACAATCGGCGCTTCACATGGAGTGAAAGATCACGATTAGCAAACACATCCTGGAGCGATCCAAAGGCACGCGAGGCGAGTGACAAACGCCTCGAAACGTCTCCTGCAGAACGCGCATCCGGAGTGATGACAGAACCCAGATAAACGAAGGAGGAAACATTTTCCACCACCTGTCCATGAAGCGGAATGCCAGCAGTGTCAACTGAAGTAACACCAACACCAGCCACCATAAACTTGGTCTTGGGTATACTCACAGTGAGGCCAAATTCAGCAGAAACATCCTGGAACGCCGTCAAGGCCAACACAGCATGCTCCCGCGAACCAACTACAAAGTTTGCATCGTCCGCATACTCAACATCAACAACAGCGGTCTGCTGATAGGTACGGGTTCGTCGTGCTGGGTTGAATAACTGGCCATCCAAGCGATAGTGAAATTGGATGCCACACACACACACACACACACACACACACACACACACACACACACACACACACACACACACACACACACACACACACACACACACACACACACACGTATAGTATGTGTTTGGTTGTACTACTAGTATACTGCTGTGAGTTCATCGGTTCCAGGAATTTATCTCAATGCTGTATCTCACCTCCGTGTTTCTGTTTGCCTAACTGTCCGGCTGTGCGTTTGTGTGTTCCGTTGCATATGTGTGTCTTTCTCTATGCATGTGTATGCATGCCTGCCTGTCTGTGATTGGATATGTGTGTGTGTGTCTGTGTGTGTGTCTGTGTATACATGCCTGCCTGCCTGCCTGTCTGTGGTTGAATGTGGGTGGATGTGTATGTGTCTGTGTGTATGTGTGTAGATTGCATTTCAAAGTCGGCGTGCAGGCAGGAAAGTGCAGGAGTATCCGAGCGGTGGCGGTGGAGGCACATCCGATGGAGATATGGTGCCAATTGCCGACCATGCCGAATCAGAAAGTGAATAGCCACTGTCTTGATGATGCTGTTATCTCCACAGTCAGTATTGTGGTAAATGCGTAACCAGTAAATAATTATTGTGTTTCAATGATGCAAGACACGCGGCTGAATACGCTTACTTGAACACTGGAGCCAGCCATACTGGATGGCTGCAATCTCTCTATCTCTCTCTCTCTCTCTCTCTCTCTCTATCTATCTATCTATCTCCACTTACCTGTCTGTCCGCCTGTGTCCCTATTAGAGACTGTGGTCTGTGATTGTTAACTGTTGAAAAGTTACTCCTGATTCACCTCATACCATCACCATGTGTTGTGTGAGGTGCAAGCACACCACACAGACACACTGCATACTGCACACTGCACCCTGCACAGTCGTCACCTTTTGATCACGTAAGCGTGCACGTGTAAACAGTTGACTATGCTGGGTTAAATCACCTAATTATAATGCTATTAACAACATCGGCCCCGGTGGTCCAGTGGTCCCGTGTATCCGTCGAGCACTTTGATTCTAATACTGTCACTGCACTAGCACTGCGCACAGAGCACATTCACTTGCAGCATTTCTATACCAGGGACCACAGCAGATCAGAACTCCTGGAGTCCTGAGAGGAGATAATGTTTATCCTGTGGTGCATGTGCGGGGGCTTGTGTGTGTGTGCGCGCGTGTGTGTGTACGTGTGCGTATATGCATGCTCTTCTGATGTGCCCATCTCGTGAATCGCAGGACCTGGACCAGAACACAACTATCGTGCTGCGGACGATGTGGCTAATACGACAACGGGCGCTGCTGCCGCTTCCGCCGGTGGTGTCACTGTTAATTTTTAGTGTGACTTGACTAACTTACACTGCCGTACGGATATGTGTGTACCGGTATGACTACGCCGCCATACGAATGTATGTATGATTGCTCTCAGTCTCCGGATCCATGCCAGTTGTGACAGTATCGACAGGCGTTACCATGACCACACGCGTTGTTTGCACCTTGTCTAGCCTGTTGTGTAGGCATGGTAACCTGCGGCTGTACCATGCGTGTAAGTTACTGTACGTGTACTATGTGAATACCGATTGATCTATCAATGATGTTCAGTGGCGATTGATGAGTGGTGCGAGGTAGCAAGTAAGCAACGTTTGGCACACTGCTCACCTCACCTGTAGTCTCTCTGTCCATCCACTCTTTGTCAGCAACCTGCCTAGATATGGCTTATTGCCATCTCTTAACGTCTTGCCGGCCACCAGTTGCCATGGTAACTGGAAATGGGTCTGGCGGTCTAGCCCTGCTTCAAGTGTTTGTTTCTCAGCAGTGTAGGATTGTGCCCGTACCGAGAGCAGAACAGTCATTGTCTATGTGACTAGCGGTACATGCAGACTGGCAGTGTGCTACGGCTGCTTGATTCTCTTTGATCTGCTGCTTTTCTCACTTGATTGTGACTACCTATAGTATAGTCTATAGCAAGAGTACATGATTGTACTCTTGTCAATAGTGATACACTGAACTATGTGATATGGAGACGTCTCGATTCGGCGTGTCAGGCATAGCCAGTAGTGTCTGATCTATCATTGTTTAGATTTGCGTTGATTGGTCTTGTTCTCCGTGCCAAAGCGGCCCTACTTTCTAGAACAGTAGGTATATTTATTCTGTCGTCTCCAAAAATCCTTTCTAGCCTTGTTTGTGTAGATTTTTAGCCGTGTTATGTGTATTTGCTCTTTTATTTTTGCTCCGACTCCTTTGCTGCTTGCAGACATGCTGTTATGTTGACCAATTTGTCTCCTTGCTGTTTGAACAATAGTGTCACAAGTAGCGCTCCCCTGATGTAACTGCTGCAGTGAGACAAACTTGACATGCATTTCATGTGTTCGCTGTGAAGTAATAGTTGCTTCGGCCATTGTTGTATGATTGGCGAAGGAGCCGGGTGAAAAGAGGGCCTCATCCGCAGGGAGTAGTAAAATACCTATTTACTACTCCCTGGTCATACCAAGAGTACATAGAGGGTTATGTACTCTTGGTCATACGTTAGGTCTGACTGTGCCACCAAGCGGAATGATACTCATACCGTGCTTGGTGAATGTGCAGGGAGATACATGTACATGCATAATCGAAATGGCTAGCTGCATGGCTGGAGATTGATGAGCATAATTAGAAGTCAATTTCATATTATTACTGCCCTACATTTTCACGCTGATTTACTTTTGCGACTTCACTCCCATCTGGGAAACCGCTAACGTTTCCAGAACGCAACGGTTTCCTGGTTTAGAGTACCCCCCCCCCCCCCCTTCTTGACACAATGCACAAGTTGAGGTTTCAAGGGGTACAAGTACACATTGTAGTTATCAGTCGTTCAGCAGTAGCAAAGTGGCAGCAGCAGTTTTATGATGAAGCTGGGAAAGGCAAGAAGCTATTATGGCAGATTTGCGTGAGTGTGCAGTGGTGCATGATGGCTGGTACAGTGGGCACACGCGGGCACGATGTGTGCAGAATGATTTTATGAAGCAGAAACTAAATATGAGACAGCAGGCATCGCTTACAACACAGATGACAGCACATGGACAGAAACAGGCCTGGTAAACTCTAACAAACAAAACACACGAGCTACAGGTGTGCAGGACGGCAACATTTCCGAAACAATAATTATGATACATACACTTGCAACACGCACGCACACACACACACACACACACACACACACACACACACACAATTGTGCAAAACGAAAGGAAGGATAAAGATCATACGGTGCATGTGGGGACCAGAGCACATGCAGACCTGTGCGGCACTGTACTGTTAGTACTATTACCACCAGTACTGCCCTACACAGGACCTGGTAGAGTGGGCATGGTGCAGGGCATAAAAATCATATACATGTACACACTAGGTCTACTCCCCTAATATCAAGGGCAGAGCTGCTAGAGTAGAGCGGAGGAGCGGTTACATACCACAGAGCAGACACACACACACACAAGCGTGTAGCCACTCTGTGTAAGTTCTAGGCGGCAGAGAGAGAGAGAGAGAGAGAGAGAGAGAGAGAGAGAGAGAGAGAGGGAGAGAGAGAGAGAGAGAGAGAGAGAGAGAGAGAGAGAGAGAGAGAGAGAAAGAGAGAGAGGGGAGGGGGGGGGGGGGATGGGGACAGGATAAGGTAACTGAGACCTCCAGCTGACTAAACAGCACTAGTTCGGGAAAGAGAAGCACAAGGCGGACGGGGAAGCGCTTGCAACGACAACAGCAGCAGTGCCGGCGGTGGCTAGGTGTGTGGTCTAGAGACACTACTCACTAGTCACTTGCTGCGAGAGTGAGAGAGAAAGAGGGAGCACATGAGAGTGACGGTCAGCCCTTGTGGTGGTTTTCGGGGAGACTTGCAGCACTTCAGCGGCAGTTTCGACCTAACTAGAATTATCACCATCTTTGGAGCGCTTTCAAGAATCACCCGCTGCAAGACGCATCTACAACAACACAATCACATCAGAGACACACCACACAGCATATTCATACCACAACACACAACACATGAAAGCATTCAAAGCAGTTCTGTCTCTTGCAAAGATACGCGTAAGGCCAATGGTACACGTACTACACGAAATACGGCGCCGTGTTTAGATGTGTGTTGTGCCCCCCAGAACATGCTAGGCTTACTCAGCTGATTCAGTGCTGTCTGTGTACAATAGTACTTGCTCAACTAGCCACCCATGACACAGTCTAATACTAGTAACACACATACTGCCACAAGACCAACACAGTGCATAGAGCACTTTCAAAATACACAGTGACACGTACACGTGTGTGCATGCACGTACGTGTGCACACAGACAGGAAGACAGACACACAGAGAGGCCGACAGACACACAGAGAGGCCGACAGACACACAGAGAGGCAGACAGACACACAGACAGGCAGACAGACAGACAGACAGACAGACAGACAGACAGACAGACAGACAGACAGACAGACAGACAGACAGACAGACAGGCAGACAGGCAGACAGGCAGACAGGCAGACAGGCAGACAGATAGGCAAACAGACACTGGCACAAAAAAACTAACCTGTTCTTCTTGCAATGCCTTGATCTTCGCAGGATTTTTCAGAGGACGACCACGGCGCTTCTTTAGCTGTATAATAACAACAACAGAGACAACAACAGAGACAGCGACAGAGACGACAGAGACAGCAGCAACAATAGCAGCACCACCACCATCACCAACAGCAGCAGCAATGAATTGGGTCAAGTTCTTCTTCTTTTTCCCGTAGTACGTGTAGAGTGTATGCGGTGAATAGTGAATATTTTATTAGTACCTCGAAGTATGGCAAATGGAATTATTTTAACGGGACAAGCCTTCGCCATAACCCCAATTTCACAGTCCCCTGCAGGGAACAATACTGTTGATGTCTCTTTGACACTCTTGTGATGTGAGTACCTTGGTATACATCATGGACCTGGTGTGTTGACATGGGCCCAAACCTTGATACGAGGAGAAGAGAGAGAGAGAGAGAGAGAGAGAGAGAGAGAGAGAGAGAGAGAGAGAGAGAGAGAGAGAGAGAGAGAGATGGGGGTGGGGTGGGTGTAGAAGCTCTAGGGAAGGACAGCTGCTCTTACCGGTTGTAAACCTCCTGGTGCAGCCAGTGGACATTGTTGTGAGCTTGAAGAGCCTGCCAAGCATAACACACAACGCACAAAACACACCGGCGTACAGGCAGCACATACCAAAACAGTAGATAACTAATATCGATGTACATGTCTGAGTGAACAATACCATTCTCCACAGTGTACAGGGATGCATTGCACATACAAAAATAGACATACAGTCGTCCCTCTCTAATCCGGCACCTCTTGCAACGGCATTTTCTGCTGGATAAACAAGGGTGCTGGATTATCAAATCCTGCCCTCCAACCCGGCCCACATGTTATCATACATGTTCGTGTCGTACGTCAAAATGTAGGGATTTTTGTGTCAAACCAAGTACTTTGTGGAATGCATGTCTATAACATACACTTGGGAATATCTTATGCACTAGCATAGGATATTCCCAAGTGTATGTTACATGTGTTGTGTATGTTACAATGGTCCCTGACTGTATGCGATGTACAACTGCTGGATTAGAAAATCGAATTATGTACAGTTTGAGTGATTTGTTGCAGAAAATCGCTGCTGGAGGCGGAATTCAAGTGCCGGATTAAAGCGTAGAAAATGAACTGAAAAAATCCGTTTTGCCAGAAAGTGTGCTGGTTTGCAAGGGTGCTGGATAAATAAGTGCCGGATTAGAGAGGGACGACTGTAAGTCTGTATACTACTAGGAACATGTAACCCTGGCAACACGTAACCTTAGCAACACAAACCCTTACTGGCCTTAGCAACACATACCCTGGCCCGAGTAGCACATAACACAGGAACAGTTGCGCCAGAGCAAGATGTGCTACTGATTGCAACGAGGTTAGGATTCGACCACATGGCGATGATAGAGAGAACAAGGTTCAGGGAAAACCTACTTTGATATACTCCAAGTTCTAGCATGCAACACTGGTATGCAGGACCGGTGGAAGCAGTGTTTGATTGGTCCAGTAGTATTGCGCCCTGAAATAGAATGAGTGTCGTTGTGATAACATCATTTACGAGTGCGTTGTTACGATACAGTGTTTGTTGTGTGTTGTGCGTGTTTGTCGGATAATAATATCAATAACAATACGCCGATATAATTAGTTGCATCGATAGTACTTACGTTGTTGCTTGCATTCTCGCTCTCCACAGCAACTCCATTGCGTGCTGCGTTCTATGTATTCCTATTCTGTACACTGACTCTCTCTCTCTCTGACAGGGTTTGCTGTCACCCTGTCGCTGGGCGCAAGCACCCTCTGACAGACCAAACCGATTCACTTCATCTTTGCAATATTTATCTCCTTTCGATTTGAATTTCTGTTTGTTCTGCACTCTGACTTTTCCTTGTTGCACCTGCGCTTTTGGCTGCGGAACTAACTTTGCTGTCGCCATTATTATATCCATGGTTACGTTGACTCATCGATGCATCATGCATGATTTGTGATCATCTGCTTTTTTGATCTTCATGCATGCACGCACTGATGTACACATAAGCCAATGCACGCACGGATGTACACGTAAGCCAATGCACGCACCCGGGCACGTTTTGCTGATGACAGCGATTTGGCGATCGTTGTTAAATAAATGTTCAGACATGGCACGTGCTTGTTGCCAGGAGACGGCCAATGAGCGGCCAGAATAAGCAGTCAAGATCAGTCGATCTTGACCGCTTAGCCGGTCAAGAACAGCAGTCGTCCAGCATCGCGCCGCACATGCGCATTTACCATTTTTCGAAGTCCTTGCCTTGGGCAACATCTCCGACGAGGACTAAAAATTTGTCTCCCTTCTCCAAAATTATTATATGCTCACTACTGTCTTGAACGTCTGCAGGGAGACCAGAAACGCCAACCGACCTTGCAGCTGGTCCTGTTTCTCGCGGTGAAACGTACACAAGGGAAGCAGACCTCCACAAGTACATTTTGTACCTGCCCTAAGGCTGCAGCTTCTCAGCACTCGCAGTTGAACCTTACTCTGGCAATCATCTAACTCGAAGAACGGGTTTATTCCGAATCCGTCATATTACTGGTACTAACTTTCAATTTTGGATCGGGAAATAACTTCTCCGGAGCCGTTTTCAGTTTGAATCTTACTCTCCAATAAACAGCATCACCCATTTTGCTTTTCATTTCGAAACTGAAATAAAACCAACCTTGTCCGGACCGAGTAAAGTTGTTTGTGAGGTGGGCCTTGTCTGAAGCGCAATCCTACACAGTTGCGTCGGGCATGCCGCTCTGATCAGGCCCTCGGTCATGTGAGTGATCTTGCCCTCGGTCGCGACGCCCTCGGGGCTACGCCCCTTGGGCGTCGCGACCTCGGGCAAGATCACTCACAGACCTCGGGCCTGATCAGAGCATCATGCCCTCGCAACTGTGTAGGATTATGTATTTCTTGGTTCTTTTCTTGTTGTAATCTTCTTGTAAATATCTTAACTTAACTTTGTTTCTCCTACCTGGTCGCTTGGTGCACTGGTTTGTGTGAGCGACGGTAATGGTGGTTTGTGGAGTACAGTAGTGAGGAGGATTAGACAACAACTTTTGGTCCCGAAACCCTAGCTTGAGGTTGAGCCGTTCAGGGCTGTTTCTTTGTTTTTCAGTTCTCTCGTTCTGTAAGTGTTTGTAGCCTGTAGGGCTGTGTTAACTTAGTGGGTAGTAATGTCGTTGAAGGTTGACGGATTTGTTAAGCCTTTCAAGGGTAAGCACGACGACTGGGACATGTTCTGGGTCAAGTTTCAGGTGACTGGCGAATGTTCTGGTTGGGACACCGAGGAAAAGCTGATGACAAGGCTGCCCCTGTTCTTGGAGTCAGATGCTCTGTTAGTGTACTCCAAGATGCCGACAGATGACAAGAAAAACAAAGCCAAGGTGGTGAATGTCATGAAAAAGACATTTGGAGTGTCACCAGGAGATGCTTATCGCCAATTCAGTAGCCGGCGGTACCGGCTGGATGAGACGCCTGAGGCGTATGTTGCGGACTTGCGCCGCCTGCTGTCTGCGGCCGGCCACTCCGGCGATGGTGATGACAACGCCGTCATCATTGAACAGCTGCTGGCGGTGCTACCTGTCCACTTGGAGCGCCAGATTCGCCTCTCGTGCGCTGGCGTCAAGTTCGCGGTACCGGAAATTGTGAGCAAGATCCGTGCCCTAGCCGTTGTGGATTCGTCCAGGCCTTATACGGGGATGGCAGCAGCAGCCAGTGGCAGTGCTGCGCCCCGAGGTGGCAGCAGCAGTGGTGGCACCAGCGCTAGTGGACAAGCTCCCAAGGCCAAGACACTGTGCTACTTGTGTAATGAGTCTGGGCACATCCGCCGGAACTGCCCGAAGCGGACTGCCAGCCGAGGAACAATGCAGTGTGT